TTTCTCCTCGCCCCTGTCGCCAAGTGCTTGCTCATGGGGGAACTCTGGTTAATTTGACACAGCAGAAAAAGGACAGGTGTTCACCAAATATACGCCTGTCCTTTTCCTGCTGTGACAACCAAAATGTTTGCTGTGGAAAAGATCCTTGTCTTCTCTCATTTCTTTTCTTCACTTTCTTCTTTCTTTCTTCAGGGGTGAATGGATGGATTTAAAATATCAATAATAAACATTTAAAAAAATATTACTATGAACAATGAGCTAATGGACACATGCATTTCCCTAGGGAATAAGTATCTATCTATCAAGCTGTAAAGGTGGAATGGCAGGGCTGTACAGTGCGACGATTTTCGTCGCATTTGCTACTAAAAATCATTCTGTGCGACGAGAAATATGTATCCAGTAGCACAAGTGCAATGGAGATGCGCTGGTCTAAAAAAAAAGAAGGGAAAACTCTCTTGTCTTATACGTCTGTTGTTGGAACAATGCTTCCTGGGAGTTGTAGTTCTACATGTATACTGTCCTTCTCAATCCAAATACTAAAAAACTACATTTCCTGGTAAACGTTCCCGCCCTTGCTGGGCGTTGCCAGGTAACCGCAACAGTGACAAACCGACCGCAACTTAATATTAACGACAATATTAATGAAGGATCAAGCAAAATAAAAAGGTACTTTTCAGTAGTTTCAACCTCAGCCAGTCACAACAATGACAATAAAAGACGCCGTTTGGAGGAGTTATCTGGTAGTAATACAGCAGAGTCTGACGCTGAATTGTCATCACTCATCCCTTCTTCATCGGACCGGGCTGTCTCCTCTTATACAAAAATGTACCGATTCAACCCACAGTGGTTGAAAGACTTCACCTGGCTTATTTATGATCAAGCCAAAGAAGCTATGTTTCGCAAGTATTGTATGGCGGCAGGCGAACGGATGGCAGGGAATACACCATACATTACAGGGAGTACCGTATTTAAGCGTGACAACGTTCCCAAACATAGTAGCACAAAGCGACACATCGCCTATAGAGATGCGCACCTCACCTGAAGTCAGCCGGGCCGCGTCAGCAATCCATTGGCTTTCCTCAACAAAACGTTCCAGGCGGCCAAATTGTAAGGAGTGGCCACAGTTTATTTGTCAAGTTTAAGAGTAATATCTAATTCGGACCAGCACAGACTGTTCATTGATGTGCATTGAAAATATTTAATTAATTTAATAGTTTAATAGTTGATTTTTCATGTTTAAATATTAATCGTTCTGTTGTGTTCAGGTCAAGGAAAGACAAACCACAACTGCCCAAATGCTATAATTTTGAGAATAAACACGGTAACTAACTGTTCACCTGTGTGTGCTACTAAATTTTTCTTTGTGCTACTAAAATGTTTAACTTGCTAGCCCCAGCGCTACCACCTAAAATAGTAAGCGTACAGCCCTGGTTACTTACTATGTCATACATCACGTTTATACATTTGGAGATTCTGCGTTCTGAGGTTGACTGAATTTACTATTTCAAATGATTGGCGTTCATTTTTTCTTGCTTTTCAGATCCATGTCTACAGCCTGGAGACGGGCAAATCTGCGGCCTGTGTCGGCAACTCGCCGGGAGATTTTACCTGCATCAACCTGAGGGACAGCTCTCCTCACCTGCTGGTGTGTGGAAACAAAGACAGGAGGTAGGAAGCATTGAGACACACAGATGCAGAGCATGAGGGCAGAATCTCCCAGTAATCATCATCATCATCATCATCATCACAATTGGTTGAAACTGAGCCAAGAATTAATAGTTAATAGTTTTCTCACAGTGACACCTGTGGAGGCTTGAGCTACTTGGAGTGGAAAAACAGGTGTTCAGAAAATTTGTGTGAGAAGAAAGGCTCTTTCCAGTTTGTGTCTTATTCACACTTCTCTGTTGCCTTGAAAAAACAAAAGCTTTCAAAAGCTCAGGCAGAGGCATTGAAGTGAGGCATTTTGTTCTTAAACAGACATTTTTCCCGTCCGTCACCTTTGCTACCTGGAATGCTGCGGAAGGAAGAAAAAAAAAAAAAAATTCTGGTCCATCTTGATCTCATCCAGCAACAACGCACACATCCATGCGTGTACACGACACTTGCACACTTCTCTAACCTGGCTCTCCAGATGAGGGAAACGCACATAAAAGAGCCATTCTCCATCTATTCTGCACTTGTTAGCGGGTGCTGCAGTGCACGAGCTGGCAGGAGAGGAACACTCCCCGGCGCGTCTTCGTCCAAAGCTGCCCCCGCTGTTTCTATTCAGCACCAAATCCATCTGGCTGTTAAGTATTTGGCTTAAAGCGAAAGACGGACCACATCATATTTTTCCTTTTCCTTTTACTAGTTATGACTCCTAGCAACCAAAAGAAATGCTCAGTTAAAGATGTTGTGTCATGTGCCAGAAGAAAATGTTCTGCATTGTTTTGACTCTTGTAGAAATAATTCAACACCAGCATTTGAATGAAGAATTCAAATGGTTGTTTTCTTGCCAGAGGAGTCGGTAAGAGTCTTCATCCAATTCCTTTATGCTTTCATTTCTGAGAGATGTGTAGTCTTATTCAGAGACACACACACACACACACACACACACACACACACACACACACACACCAGCTTGGCTCTTCCTCTTTGGCCACAGCTGATGCAGCGCACAGTCGAGGACAAATGGAAAATGGGGGGAGACTGAGGGACAGTCGGCAGTCTTGGCCCTCCAACAAGGTGGCTTAAGGCCAAAGCCTAATGCATCCCTTCTTTTTGTCCAAATGAGTTTTGTTCCTCTGTTATTTGTGAGATCCAGGGAGCAAATGAGGGGTCCTGATAAGGGCTGTCTGGAAGAAGGCCAGATCCTCGCTAACGGGAACGACATGGGCAAATAGCAAAATTGAATACAGTAAGAGAGGGAAGAAATTATGAGTGTCATACCTGCAGCTTTTGGTCACTTATCATTATGCAGGACTGCACTTCTTGAGTCCAGCCTCGAGACCACTTCACTCAACTTTTTTCTGCCAGTTGAAAAAACTTAATTATTCAATGTGATGCTAACGGAATGGCTGAAAGAATTCTCATTTAGCGCCAACTTTTTAAATCATTCAATGCTTTATTTTTTTGGCCATTTTGGGCTTTCTTACAATAGGGACATTGAAAGAGAGACAGGGAAGTTAAGGAGGAGAGAGAGGGGATAACATGCAGCAAAGGGCCTGGGTCAGATTCCAACCCAGTTCTGCTGCGACAAGGACCGAGCCCAAATGGTTCACGCTCCACCACGTGAGCCACCAGGGCGGGGCGCCCCCGTCCAATGCTGTCTTGAAGAACAAATGAAGTAAAACTAAATTAAGGTTTTTCAAACCTTTGTCTCTACACTGTTTTTTCATTTGTTGCATCGTCCTGATCTTTGAATAGATAAACATACAGGCGCACGTAACCTGCAGCATCTGCAGAGCAGAAAACCAATAGCAAAGTTTGGCAGTGACGTCATTTTGTATTTCAACATCCAAAAAACCACTTGGATTTGTTTCGACTTAAAAATATTTGGGACACTACAAATTTCATGAAGACATAATAGATAAAGCATGAATAGGAAAATATATTTAAATTAAATTTTTGTCCATTATATTTTGGTTACTAGTCAGCTTTATCTCAGTGTATAACAGTTTTGAGCGACAGTTTACATCATCATTCTGTGCCAAGGTGTGTCGCAATTTGTTTTGGTTGAGTAGAGCTGGCTGAACTTGTACCGGTGATAGTGAAAAAAAAAAAAAAAAAATGAATACAAAAAAGATATATGAAGCACCGGGGAGAATAAAGTTGCCAAACAGAGTCCTGTCTATTTAAGAGTGCAACAGATTTACCAAATCACAGGTTCGTCACACATCATCCTGAGTGTATAATGATCAACGTCTTGTCCAGCTGTAGAGACAAACTGTCCAGCAGTTAGCCGAGCCTCTCCCACTCTTCTCTTATTAGGCAGAGCTCCTCCTGATTAATGAAGAGGAGTCTGGCCACTGACAGCTCACTGAAGACAGAGCCGCCTCCAGCATTAGATTTATGGTTCCCTTTGGTCTGCCAATAATGTTCAGTCCTCATTGTCAAAACGTGTGCCTCCATCACGTAACGCCACTAAACAGACAATACTAACTGCAGACAGTGAGTCCGCTGAGCCCATTTAGCCGTTTAACTATGATTCTTTTAAAAAATGTTTGGAAGCGGAAATGAAATATGTCTGAGTCCCCAAAGTGAATTGGATTATGGTAATGAAGTCCTGGAAGAAGGTTGAGCCTGGATGGAGTCATGTCCTGGATGCTTTCAGCTGCAATAAAGCCACAATGACAACAGATGGAGCTGAAGCTCCCCTGGGCTTGTGGTGCTCATGAAACCCAGCAGCAAGAATCCTGCTCTTGTTGCCTTTTTGGATAATAAATACTCACACAATTACTGGTACTTTAATAATTAAAAAGATAATATAAATCATAATAATCATAATATAGCATATAGCATGTATCTCAAAGCAGAATTTATAAAGTGCTTCACAGAAAGGATTAAAGAAAATAAAAGATAGAAAGAACAAATAAAAGAACAAATATCTACATATATCAGAATATGTATTAGAATAAATACACGAGTTATTTAGTACAAAACTAAAGACAAAATTACATTAAAACAAAAATAATTTAGCAAATTAGTTAGAAGATAAAAATAAAACAAAGCAAAGAGCTGGGGGAGGTCAAAGTTCACAAAATCAAAACTGCATTTAAAACAATGATTTTAAAGACGTAACTCAGTTTAAAAGCTTGTTTGTTTTCAGCCACAACCACCAGTGTTTATAATGTGGTCAGTAAAATCTTGAAATCAGTTCTGTATTTTTTGCATTACGTGTGTGTTGTCCGACACTGTGGAGCATTAGGTGCTCTAGACACATATATATGTATTGTTTACTGTATCTACTTTATATTTTTACATTTAAATTTTTCATGATACTGACAAAAAAAATTTTCCTTTCTTCTATTTTCAGTCTTTCTACAGTATTTATATTTGGTGTTTCTCTGTATCTGCAGTTATTTTGCTCAACTTTTTTTTCATTTGTTTTGTTTTTTTCACTATTTTCAGATGTTTAAAATGTTCAGCGAGTTTAAGTTTAACACCTTCCACTTAATTTTCTCTAATTTAATTGTTTTGTATAGTTTGCCTTATATTCTCATATGCTGTTTCTATAGTAATCGATTCATCTAATGTGACATCATTTTAATGTTTAGTTCGTTTTTTTGTTTGCCACACTTACTGCTATATCTTTGTCATATTATTACAAGTTCATTGTTTTGTTTTTTTTTAACTGGGCCATGTCCAGTAAGAGTCTTTGTAAACTTAGCTTGGTGAAATCATGTGGTACTTGGGTAAAGGCCAGGGCAAATAAGGCTGGAACTAAAAGTTTGCACGGCTCATCTGCTTCAGCTTGTATTTGTCTTTGGTCTCTTGGCTGGATATTAAAAAGTTCTCTTGCTGTTCTCGCGGCGCTTCCTTCAAAAAGTGAGAATAGTGTCCTTTTGTCTGTAAATGAATGCACTCATTGACAAACTGCACTCTCTCTTGTGTGGTCTTGGTAGGAGATCTCCGCCTCTGAAATCCAAAATGACCATGCTTCACTGGAAATGACTGATGCTATTGTGCTCACCCCACCTATTATTCATCTGCAGTATTGCACTCACTTTAAATCATTCTAAAAACCACTTAGTGCTGCATTAACACAGTGTTTAGAAAGCTACCAGTAACAACCTGTGGACTATAAACACGTAATGCATCATATTGACCATGCGTTCTTCTCTGCTGTGATTCAGGGTGAGGGTCTTTGACCTACGAGCCGGCTCCTCCGTGGCGTCCCTGTATGCTCACCACCTGGGCGTGACATCGGTGCAGGCGGACGATTGGAAGATTGTGAGCGGCGGAGGCGAAGGATTGGTGTGTGTGTGGGAGATGAGGATGGGAGCCAAGCTGTGGGAGATGCACAACAGGTGGGACTTAGTTTCCTCTGAGCCAGAAGAAAAGATACACGTGTTCAGTTTAACAGTTTTCACAGATGTCAGATCTGGTTTTGTAACTGTGTTTCTCTGCTTGTTTCTAACACATCACAGCTGCGCTTAAGGTGTCTATCCAAACCCATTTAACTCGTGATTTGGGGTTTTTGTTTTCATAGAAATTGTTGCCACAATTAAAAACAGTCTCAGTTGAATGATGTTTATTTCATGGCAACACAGACATGTTCCTGATTTGTACTAAGAGATAAAAAGATTGATTAGAAAACATCAGTTGAACATTTTTAGATATTGTGTGGACAGACATCTTTACATTGCTTCAAGAACCATTTGTGCAAAAAGACTTGCATGCACAGATTAAAAAAAAAAAAAAAAGATGATTTATGTGTTATACTGAAAGTGTTGTTATCTGTCTGCAGGCATCCTGTAAGGCATGTAAGCTTCAACACCAGCAACCTGGTAACAGCCAACATCCCAGATGACAAGTCGCCGCGGGGGGCGTGCATCACAGATGATGACCTTACAGCTCACCGCAGGTCACTGATCTCACTCCCGAACTCGTCTTCTGATTCTTTTTTCATCCCGGATCTCTTCTCTACATCCACTTCACCTCGAACACAAGCTTATAAAAGTCTTTGAGTCAGGAATACTCAGTAAATTGGTTACCTCTCTGCACCTTAGGTTTTATAAAAGCCAACCCTGTCACATTCTGGAAAGAGATCGTTTGGTATTTTGGGAAATACACGTATTTGAAGAGAGATACCACCTTAATTTCTGTATTGGAAAAATGCAACTACATCTTGCAGCCTGTTAGCTGATCTCAGCATAAAGACTAGAAACAGGAGGAAATAGCTAAGAGCTAACCAAATCCAGCCTGCTTGTCTTGTCTTGTTTATGTCATTTGTACAGAAACTGAAATTGTTGTTACTTTGTGGTTTTTGTACCATTTCCCCCTCTTTCCAAGCTTTATGCTAAGCTACGTAACAGGCTGCAGACTTAGTTTCAGATTAACCCTACAAACGTAAGATCGTAAGGATCAAATACATGTATTTCCCTAAATGTTGAAGTATTCCTTTGAATGGCAGTACCTCAATTTGCATGAACAAATACAGACTACACTTATTCATATATAAACATATATTGGCTCCCACACTCCCACACTCCCACACTCCCACACTTCTGCTTCCTGTTGCATGTGCACCATAAATGGTTACATGCAGCTTTGTAGATGTAAAAAAAAAAAAAAATCCAAATAATAAAATTAAGTCATGTTTTTAAATAATTCCGCCTTTTCTGTCGGATAATAAACAGATATATGTCGCTGGTTTAAACTTCAGAATGATTCATCTTCTGTCAGCGTCCTACTCAAGCATCCAGTTGGAGCATTTGTGAAAGAAGTTGTTAATGTTGTTGCTGACATGGATGTGTTGATCCTTCAGACACAGGGGAGTCATCTGCCATTACGACTTCTCTGAGGACGCGCTGTCGCAGGATCACATTCTGCCCATCTGCAGGTCTGACTACACCGAGTCCTACGGCTACAACTACAACATCAGCCTGACGGTGCCTTACGACAGGCTGTCCGGCTCCCATCCGTCCCACTGACACACAGTTTCCCTCAGACTGCAGCCTGGCTCAGTGAGCGGCTAAACAGACAATAGAAAGTCTCACTCCTGTATCAGTTTGATTCTCCAAACTGTATCCTTTTATTTTACAAATTTAATTTTATCATCCTGGTCAAAAATCAAGCTTTTGAGAGATGTAATATTTGTATGTACCTGTTATGTCTATTAACTGCTGCACAGGTATTTGTACTTTACAGTGCTGGTTTCAGATGTTGCACAGCCTTTTAAACCATTAGTGTAAAATTAATGAATTTTTAATAGATGTTTGGCTCCCTGGATTTTAATCAATGCCACCATGCAACATCACAGTAATAAAAAAAATCATATTGCTACCTCATTTACCAAGTACGATTCTTCTTAGCACGTTATATATTAGTTTCTCTAAAAAAAAACATCTTACACATGCATTTGTTTTATCACAATGTCTTATATTTATTTAGTTTATTAACATAATTCTGTGCAAAGTCTATAACAATTCATCTCAGGGATAGTAAAGTGTTTTATTTGTTAGCAGGGAAAGAAAATAGTGGATTTTGATGGTAGAACAGTGGATGGTTACACAGTCTCGGAGGAACAGATAAAATAAACCTGTAACTATTCTGGAGCTGCAGAGGAATGGTATGTGCCTGCAATCTCATGCTTTGGATATTAGCCATAACAGATGACCCATGGCTACCAGAGCGGCCGCGACTCACTTCATCTAAACACGTGAACCTTTTGGAAAAAAAGAAGTAGAAAGAATCCTTCACATCACATGCTGCTAACAGAAAGATTTATAGATCAGCAGGAGATTGCACAGAGGTAGTGTTTTAGTTTGAAATTTGATAGAAATCAATAGGAGTGTGACAAAAGAGAGAGATCAATACATTTCTTTGAAATATGTGACATTTGCTACTTTAGGATCACAGTGCTTGAAAATTGATTAACAACATAAAACTGAATTCTTTAGGCGGAAAGGTGAACAACCGTCCTTTGACTTCCACCATCCAAACAAACCTTAAACTGCAGCAGCTGCAGCAGCTGCAGCAGCAGCAGCAGACGCTTGTTTTAATTCGTATAAAAAAAAAAAAAAAGTCGGATTATTTCACGTTGTCCAAAAATATATATTCGTCCATATCAAAAGTATTTGGCTTCACTCCATTTAAGGACTGGAGAGGTTCTGCTAAAAACAGCAGCTACATAAACATGTCAAGAGGCTGATTTCCCACAACGCATCGTAGTGGTGTCTACATCCAAAAAGCGAATGTGCATCCTGGTCTCCATTTCAAGCCCTTTTAAAATCTGTGGGCAGACGACAAAAGCTTTCTTAAGTAAGTGATAAATACAGTGTATCATTTTTTGGGTCAGGGTGATGATAAAGTCAGAAAAGTGCAAACCTGTTCAAAATGCTCGAACGTAATTCCTTCATAGAAATCATCCGGGGCCTGAAACGATAAAGAGACAAATTAATCTGCTACTTTTCTGCAGATAGGCGGCTGTGTGAATTGATTGTAACTGTTCCCTTACCATGTGGGGCACATTTGTGCTCGCCACTTCCAACATGGCAGCATCTGCTATTGCCTTGGCAGCCTCCAGCCCGATGGCTCCACTCTTTGACAGAAGCTCCTCTACTACCTTGGATGAGAACGTTAACAGCCTTTAAATCCTCACCGGGGTTTAAACAGCATTAAACTGCACAGGACGACAGTTCCACATGACAGCAAGAGGTAAGAAAAAAAAATGTAATCAACTTCAGTGAATTACTGTATTTAAAGAATGCACGTGTGTGGTTACTACCAGCAGGACCGGTAGCTTTTCCAGCGTTTACTAGACAAATGCTCAGTCACTGATGTTTAGTCTTTGTGAAAGGAAAACTACTTTTTTAAAGTTTGCTCAGTTGCTCAGTAACTGGTGTTTTCATCAAAATGATAATGTAATTCCTCACTAGCTTAAAATCAGTCCTTATCGTTGCTCCTTCACTACTTCCATCTAATAAAACTTGCATTTGAAATTAAAATTGAAATGCTGTCGCCTACATTATGTTCCACTGCAGTATTCTCTTAAAAATTGGAAAAAACTCGAAATTATGGATCAAATTTCCTCGTTTCAAAAAATATTGTTGCTTTCCAGCTTTTTCCGGAGTTTAAAACTGCTGAGGAAAACAATAAGATGCAGCTGAAAGCTCTTTGAAAAAACTAGAAAGTGGAAGATTGTTTTTGTTAAAGTACTGTTCTCAAAGTGAAGTATGAACTTTCACATACATTTGTTTTAATTTACCCCTGCAGCAAACAGACATTAAAAATGAGCCAAACCTTTGTAAAAACCAAAATTACTGTTTAAATGTTTCTGTTTTTTTAAGTTCACGAGATAAAAGCTAACAGTGCTTTCACAAGAACGGCTCATTGTTTAATGCCTGTTTGCTGCATGAGTTGAATTTATTTCTTTTCACTTCAGACTTCAACAAAATGTCAATTGTCCAGTGTTGCCCAGTCCTGTGCATCCAACTGTTGACCACAGACAAGGTCCAGCACGGTTGAGTCGTCTTACCTTCCTGTACTCCACCAGAGTGATGGTGCCATCGTTGTCTGTGTCATGCATGTTGAACAGGACTGTGAAAGACAGAACGGAAGAATTTAGTGGTTGGTTTATCTCCATCATCACGTGGCAGGATCTTACCAGCAGAGCAGAGGAAGTTGTGATTAGGGGAATGTTCATGAACATGCGGAGATAAGAGAGTAGGGTAACGAAGCAGGTTCCCTTCAGGCCGCATCAGAAGCATCACTGCTGAATGTCAACAATCACACTGAGGCAATGAAGCACCTTTAAAATGTTATTACTCTCATTCACGGTGACATTTACAAGATTCAGTTCTGTGTCAGTACTTCAGGTTTAGCAGTGTTGTGGCATTAACAAGGCAAATTGCCAATTTGCTTCCTTAGGCAATGTCCAATGACATTTTGACTGTGCTGCATTTCTGAACAGCTGATAGATTGTTAGCTTTGGGATGGCATGAGATGAAAATCCTCAAGTATAAGTTCCTCAGCACTTGAGTAAATGTACTTAGTTACTTTCCCTTAAGTGTTATTTGGATACTTTAAACATCTGCACAACAAATAAAGCCTCAATCAAACAATATCAGATAAAACATATGCCCAAGAGGTTTGGATTTGTTGCTATAGGCATGTCTTCTATGTTTCTTAGTCTCATGCATTACTGGACATACAACAACAGCTATAAGAGAGTGTCACAAAAGGTTCCAGTGATCTGAAACATCAACAGAAAAGTGGCAGTTTTTGGTGACAGCCCATTAGAACGAGACAAGTTCAAGTTCAAAATCGTTGTTGTTAAACATATTACAATTTAAATAATATAATGCATACAAAAAGAAGAAGAGAGAATCCCTCCCTAAAAAGACTAGAATCCAGTACAGCTAATGATAATTTGCATTTGTTTTAACTTAAGTTTTTATTTCACTTTCAGAAACTCATACTATCATTTTCATGATTATTTGACACATTATTTATGAATCATTTAACAGAAAAAGAACAGGAAAATACAGGAAAAAAAGGTGGTGGTATGAGTGTATGTACAGTATATAGTATATATATTTGTGTATGTATATGTACATAGAGATAGGATGAAATGGAAAAACAATGATATATATATGATCCAGAATATGTACAGGGAATCAAATCACTTCATTGTATCAGAATGGCCATGGCAGACCTCCACATAATTTACATTTTAAACAGGGGCTGTGGCCACAATTAGAGACAAACCTCGGTTTACCAAAATCAGTCAGATAACCAGCTATTATGCATGGCTGGAGTGACGCGCCAGAAAAAAACATTTACACTCAGGCCTAATTTTCTAATTCATTTTCTTCAACCTGCATTCAGCACTGTCCACTCTGTGAATTTTTTATATGCAGCTCAGCCCCCTTCAACTTTCATTCTATCATATAGGATAGTGATAGGGGGAAATAGTCCCGAACTGCACAAACAAAGAGCAACTATAAAACAATTTGAGTATTCAAGCATTAGGGTTCCAACTCTGTGGCTACAAATGATCCCATTCTTCTTGTGACAGTTGAGGTTGTGAAGCTGGCCGAGGCATGAATACTTACGATCCTCTGCAGTGTGATAGCTGACATGCAGGAAGGAATCTGCTGCCCACACATGAAGCCATGCACCACCACACTCTTTGTGCTGGAACTGATTTGTTATCTAAGATGAGTGGTGCCCTTTTTTCTTAGTATTTTGTAACTGAGACAAACATGAAGGCTGCGCACAGGAGAGACGTCCTAGACAGCTGCACGTAAAAGAAGTGCTGTTATTAAAAAATAAAGGAAAGTTAACTTACAGCGAAGCTTTTCCTTTCTCATAACTTCCTTCTCCTCCTCCGTTGTCTTCAGAGTTGGAGGGCGAAAGTGGGACATGACCATGAGGAACTGCTCGAAGCCAATCTCTTCCAAGGAGCCCACCTCGTTTTCATGCTGGTTCCTGGGTCACAAACAGAAGTACTAAAAGTTAGTAAAATAAAGGGATTTATCAATTCAAATTCAACCGGTGTGATCTTTTGAAGGTCCACACCAACCCCAGTATCTCCTCATGTTCCCAAGTTGTAAATAGATCAATTTCTGTTATTCAGCATATTCTGTTTTTGTAAGGATTTTTATCTTCATATTTGCTTGATGATAAATCTTGAAAATGTTTGGATTATATTGGCGCCCTCACACCCACAGAGTCCACTTATCTAAAGTCAGAGCCAAAAGAAAAGTAAAAGTGTTGTCTGATATTTCTGCATTTGGTCCCTTTAGGTTCCCATTGTGCACATGGCTTGTGTGCTTGTGGAAAGTCACATGCACTCACTTGTTTATTGGGCAGTCCATATTGTGGTTTTTCTTGTTAGCTTATCCTTTTCGAAGAATGAGGAACTGCAGGATTTAAAATGTCAACAACTGTCTCTTAATAGAAATAAAACCTGATGTTTTTCTTAGTTAATGGATACTTTACATTTAAAACTGCACCACAATTCTTTTAGATGAAGACTGAAACTCACATTATCAGCCATCTGGACGCATTATAGGTAGTTTCTACTGGCCATGTTTGAATAGCATTGTTTTCATTTAACTACACAAACAGAAGTAAGGCACTAAACAGTTGACAGTTTGATTAAGCAGCTCTAAACATTTCCCTGGGTAAATGAACCTTAAAACTCTCCATTTAAAATGAATGCTAATTAAATCCTTTCATAGTAAGAGTGACTCACTGCAGATATTCAATTGGTGGAGAGACAAATACCTTTGGTTTTTAAAGGAAGAGAAGGTAAATATAACCTACTGACAGCAGCCTCTTAGCTTAGCTTAGCTTAGCACAAAGGCTGTCCAAAACAAACAAAAACACCTATAAAGCTCATTAACTAATTAACATATTCTATCTCATTGATTTGACCCCCACAAAAACCAAAATGTAAAAACAAGTTGAGGCTAGCAAGCAGTTTCTTCCTGTTTCTAGTGTTGGTGCTAAGCTTAGCTAACCAGCTGCTGGCAGTAACTTCCTATTTACTGTACAGACTCAAGAGTCTTATCTCAGTCTTGGCAAGAAAGCCATTATAAACATATTTAACAAAATGTCAAACTATGAGGATCCAGTTTACAGAACATGAATCGTACTTCACCGCCCAATCAGCAAACGAAAAGAGGATTTCCTCGCTACTTTTACAGCTTGTATTTATTTACCTGCGGCCAGGATAAAGGATGGTGTCATATAAGTAGGTTGAGATAAGTTAGTCATGGCTTAAAGAAACTGACCATTGATAAAGAAAGTTAGAAGAATTTTTATTTTGGACATTTGATGCAATAATGGCCTAACAAGTTAATGAATGTTTTATAAGTAGCCCAAACTCAATTCTTCTGTTTAGAGTTGTTTGTTTTTTAGTTTTTTTTTAATTATCATTATTATTATTATATTTTTGGAATTTTAAGATGATTAATTAAAGAGTAACAGAGCATTAAAATCTGGAGAAAGGCTCTAATGTATATTTGCTGCTGGGGTTGTACTGACTCTTTTTGACTTAGAAAAAAATCATCAAAATATGGAATTTTCCCAAACTTTTGAATACAACTGAATAATAGGGGTTTGAAATTGTTTTGAATATATTCAAAATATCATGATAGTGTTAATAATATTAACTGAAATGACAGTTAGCCATAGGGTGAACAGACGAGACAAGAGTGCGGTGTAATTTGATTGTACTCACCTTTTATCGAAGAATGCTTCAATAATCTGCTTTCTGATTGGATTATTGGCGAGGCCCGGTATGGTGTCCAAGTTTTCTCTACTGCATTGCGACAAGAGAAGAGTCCATTATCATAAAACAGATACTACAGTACAGTGCCAGCATGTTTTCAGATTTAAATGATAGTGAACGTTATTTATGGGAAGTAACATGAACCCTATCTCTGTCTGAAGGTAAACTGTCAACAGGAATACCCGCTATAGGCACATTTGTTCCGTGTTTCTTTTTAAAGGGAATGAACTTGTGATCTGTCACTACCAGCATTCTACTTAAGTTTCCTGTGTGTTTACATGAATATGTGTGTGTGTGTGTGTGTGTGTTTGTACAGTATGCGTCAGCTCTGTGTGATTGATGCATGAACATATTGTATTTGCCTAATGTGCCTGTGTTCATATTAGTTCAGCCTGCATGTGTCACCATATGTTGCTTGTTTGTGTCTGTGCTGCAGATACCAGAAATACCCACAATTCATCACCACAGCCACCGTGTAGGTAGTATTTTATCTCTTGTGGCGACTGCTGGGGAATGATTTCTGTTAAAACCACATGAAGCTTGACCAGCAGAGCTTTGCCACATGTGCAGGTATTTTCTTTTCTTTTTAGTCTCAACATTTTACCTTATTGTCTCTTCATTTCCACTCAGGTGCTGGAATCGTTTGTGGAGGTTTTTGATCTGCTCCAGTGAAACTGAAAAACAAACACCAACAACAAGAATGTATGACAATTATACACCCATTGCTTCACACCCATCAACCGACAGTTCTGACATGCACTGACTCAGCAATAAACAGATGATTATTCTTAGTAAGAAGGTACAGTCAATCCTTTTATGGATTTCCTTTTACCTGTATATATATTGAATTATAATTATAGAGTGACGCTTATTTTAATGAAACTGATGGGGTGCAGCTCTACTATCAGTCTAATGGCAAAGCAAACACACTGTGCAGCAGTAGGATTGCCTTTTTATGCCATTTCAAAGGGTTCCTTGAATCATTAACTCACTCAGTGGACTAGTGGCCACACACTGAAAGGTTTTGACATCATAATCTTACACTCCCTGATCCCATGTCAAGACAGGTTTGGCATTTTCAATTGTTTTGGTAAACACTTGTGGGTTTTTTGACCTTCTTTCCCTTTCGCAGCGGCGGCTAAGTGGATGTTTGCAGTAGCAACTGCAGCAGTTGAGTGCAGGGTGAAGAATATGCACTGAGACAGACTGCAGCCTCCTGCAGAAGTGTGAATGGGCGGTGTGACTATGACATGTGCAACAGATGTAACATGCAATTAACTACAATTACATGAACCATTTAGCCAAATACAAGAGAGAACAACAACTGAATCTATGATCTGTGCTCTGTCAACAAGAGTAAGCCTGTTAGTCCAATGAAGCATTTCATCAGTGTATACTGTAAATCCATAAATATCTCCGTCTGAGCCCAGAGAGAAATGGGGTCAATGCCCCACCTTAAGGAAGCTAAGGCAATAAAAAGCTCAAAGTCTCCCCCTTCAATAAAGTATCAATAAAGTTGGGCTCAGTCTGGGATGCAAACTTTATCCCTGCATGCCCCACGCTCTGTCGCACTCTGCATGCCACTGCGTGCAAAGGTTTCACATCAGGATACTGTCCTTCCTAATAATAGATTTACGGACTTCTGTTGTTTCGCTCTGCTTTTGTTTCATTTCTTTATTAAACGTTTCCATTCACGAATCAGAACTGATTTAGTCAGATAAGGTGTTTTACAGCACTTGGGCCAATAAGATCCAGATCCAGCTATACTGCCTCTAAACGGTCAACACAAATCCGTGCAGATACAAAGCAGTAAGACGCTAAATTATTAAACTTATTGGATGGATTGTTTATGTGGTTGTTATCATGAATGTCGTCGTGTATTAGTAGGGCATTCATAAAAAACTACCGGGTGTTGCGCAACATCACAAGTGGTTAAATTTGAAGCTAAAAACCGATGCATTTATTTATGCAGCTGGTGGCGATTCACATAATATGACTTTACCAATTACACCTGCACATGACTTAATCATTCATTTTAATTAATACTTGTAAAAAGTGGGATCACAGACTGGTACAATGATCAGGTTTCCATTCGTCTATTCATCTGGATCACCTTTCATTTCCTTGACGACCCAAATTTGTCACAGGCACCGCAGTTTTCCTCGACTAAGCACAAACGGCAGTTATATACTTTCTAAAGAGAAATGTCTCTGTTGGATTTTCCCCTACTTACATCCAGTTTTATCCATCAGATCCTTGTACTTGTGCTCGGAGCGCGTCTGCGAGGCTCCCATCGTTGCTATTCCACCCGTGCGTCAAGACGCACGATCTGGTTCGACTGGCTCAACTTTTCTGCGCGTCTGTTGCTTTATCGCGCTGCTATCGGCTGCTCACTGTAACTGTAGTCTGCTGCCGGAATCCTGAGAAACATCTGACATCCTCAAGGTCCTAAATCCCTGCAGCCTGTGGATGAATGACCTGCTGGCTTTCTGTTGCTCGTCAGTGCTCTGCAGTAAAACGTGTTTAGTATTGTGCATTTCAATAATAAAGAATATGCAGCAAAATAAGTCAGAGAAGCTAGTAAAACTTGAAACGCTTTATTTATTTTTTTTTAAAATTTCCTCAAAGGTCTGTTTCAAGTCAGTGGTTGGTTCCTCTTTTGTGTTTCCATTAACAGCTCACCCATACTGATGAGCCATGACATCCTACATGTTTCACTTGTAAATATACAGAAAAAAAATCAAGATACTCTAGAAATGTGAAAGTTGAACTTTCGTAAGTGCATGAAACTTGGTTAAAAGATGGGGAATTAAAAGTAAATGTCAATTTACAAAGTATTTTCTTTATAATACTTCCTGTGGCACTGTAACTGGAGGGTTTCGGCTATATGCTGGGGGCTTGTTTGACTGGTGCTGGGTGCAGGGAGGTGTGGAGAGGGGGGAGAGGACTCTGAGTAAAGGAGCATTCCTTGGTTTTAGGTAAGGGGAGATTTACAGCACCTGGATACCCATCCTGAATTTACTCGTCCACTTATTTGTTTACCTCAAGCCTGTGTTCCTTTTTCTTCAAGGTGTCTACTTGAATACTTTGTGACTGGATCTGGAGATTATCACATCTCCAGGTTGTGAGAAATGCATCCTGATAATATCCCTCATCTAGGCTACAATCACTCCATAGTTTGAACTTTGTTTTCATAACAAATGCACTGTGGTATTTGGAGATGTGGATTGGAGCAGCAACATTAACAGTCTTTCTTGTATATTTCCAGACCTTTCAGTCTTTTCCCACATTTTTCCAGATGTGGAAATGTTAAAAGAAATCTTTCGAGATCTGCATAGGAACCTGATTGTGGTACTCATTCGTTTCAGAAAATACTCTGGTTGGTTTTAATTTCAACATGTAAGTGGATTGTAAATTGAGAATGGGTGACCAGTAATTGGCTAGCCTGTGTTGGCAGGTCGTTGGACACAGCTACTTTGCTACATGGCCATGGCTTGGTGGTTGTTTTGGTCTGAGGCAGGAGGCTGCACTTGGGTCCCAGAGCCAGGTGTCAGTCTATGATAGAGCTCCTGCACTGTGCCCAAGGTTTCATTCATGTCCTCTGGGTATCGAGTCTGCAGTTCTTCATTAGCAACGTAGTGGTTGTCGGCAAACTCGGAGAAGTAGCGACCCACCTCCGGGTGGCCGATCTCCAGGGGGGCTGAGTGGGGCTCCAGGTTTTCTGAAGAACAACAGAAAAGTGTGAGATGCTGATAAGAACTAATGTACACAAGTTAACCTAAATTGAAGAGGAAAGGAAAATTCGTGCAAAACAGTCCCCATCATTATTAGTATACATACAAAACCAGGTCAAACTGATCTTGTCACATATCAAAAGATTTAGCTTATAAATAAAATGTCAAATATAATTTATCTTGGCAGCTTGATGTTTTCAGGTCCTGCATGGCAGACTATTGAGGTGGTGGAGAGAGCAAAAGCACCACGTGCAAACAATGAAAGCTGTGCAAGTGCAGAATCAGCAGAGTGAGCAGCAGAGTGAGCAGGTAACCACAGGGGAATATACGGTATGAGTCAGCATGTGAAGGAGGGGCTTTCTTAAGGAGGGGAAATGTATAAATCACAAATAAGGAAGATGCAGATTAACTATTACAGAAATGCTTTAGCTTTAAGTGCAAGAGGCTACAAAATCCAATACAGATCATCTCAACCCATGTACAAGCACATTACACATATGGCAGATATTTATTTGTCCCACCCACAGAACAGATCAGCTTGATTTGCCCATGTAAATGTCTTTATACAGAGAGCTTGAAGATTTGTGTTTTCAACCATCAGTTGCTTTTTTAAATTTGTCTTTAATAGATAACATGTCAGTTTGTTGCATGTTTCAATTTTATACAATTTCAGCAAATGAAATTAAAGTGCTGTCAATATTTGGTAAGACATTGAGCTGCTGCATTGATAGCTTACAATTTTATCCCAAATAACCAGAAAAATTACACGAGTACACAAGAGTAAACAGACATAATAGTGATAATGACAAAACATGATTTATTTTTCTGTATCTGGCTATTTCCTTTGATTTATTACAAGCTGATGCCTGGAGGGTGATACAGTCTTTCCCAAGGCTATTTATCAAACATATATATATTTATGAGATAAACATGTTCAATGTGTTAACATTAATTTCACCCTGAGGATATTTTTCATCACCATGCTGGTGTGTATGATCCATACCCTGTGCTGCGTAGCGGCACGTTCCATCCTGCACGAGGACGTTGTAGAAAGGCTGGTTGGCCCCGTTAGACAGTTGGTGGACCCTCATGGTGGTGATCCACTCCTGGCTCATGGTGCATTTGGGGTCCCAGCCGTAGATCACACAGTTATAACCTGACCTGTTGGAGGAGGTGGAAAAGAGCAGACATGCTTGAGTGATCTAAAATAACAAGTCTACAGAGAGGATTTCGCTTTTTTTTTTTTTTTTCGGAGGAGCATTGCTGTACCACATCTTGTGACCCACCTCTTGTGTTTCATGATGAGTCCAACTGAATACTGGACCTCAAGGTGTTCTGGAGCGGTACGCTTCTTCACTTCAGGTGTCACAGGATGCTTCTTGTGCTGGATGTGCTCCAGCGTGTGCTGCACCAGGTAACCCACTGCCCCGTGCTGGGAGGGATCCAGCGCCTGAATGTGCTGCAGGATGTCTAGCACCTGGGAGAGAGGACAAACATCAATGGACAGCGCACAGATTAAACTACTTTGCAAGAGCAGACTAGTCAGCGCTCTGTACTGACTGGTATTTAATACTTTATGAACAACACTGTAAACCAACATTTGAGCGAGACAGAACACCAGCAGAGTTTCACTTTAATAACACTGTAACAATAACTGGCTAAAAATCTGATTTCTTCTTAACAACAGGTTGTGTGTCCTGACCTTTTCTGGCCAGATGCCCAGGTGGAAGTACAGGCGCGCCTGGAGCAGCAGGTACTGCACATTGTCTGGGTTGATAGTGAGGTAGAGGTCCAGAGAGTCTCTCAGCAGCTGGTAGGATTTCTCATTGCCCTCCCTGAGAGGAACCATGTGATGTAGGTAATGTAATTCAACCAGAAGATTGCATGAATTTATTCATTTAATTTTAGCAGCCAATCAAATGTATTCCAATCATGCTCTCTCTAGTCTTGTCAGATGACAGGATAAAGGCTTAATTAAAATATTACTTGGGGAAAAAAAAAGTGGTTCTCATGGGTGAGAAATCTATAATTTCTTCCATGTTAGCCAGCCCCCATGACAGAAATATGGATCAACAGTCATCATCAGCCTATATATTGACCATCCATCAATCCTCCATCAGCCCTCATTCATTTCTGCAGTGGAAGAGATTCAATAGTGACAGTCAGGTGTTCAGCATGTTTCTCTCACCCTCTCTTGCCGATGTTGAGCAGGTTTCCCACCATCCTGAGGAGCACCTCCGTAGTGCTGATGGCACTGTAGTAATCTGCCGTCACCTGGTGGCCAATGAGGTACTCGCACTCCTTGGCTGTCAACTGCTTGCCTTTACCAAAGGCATCGATGTAGACAAAGTCATAGATGTCCTCACTGCTGTAGGAAACAAGTTTGATAAATTTAACATGCAAATATATTTACCAGGCACTCATCACAGACGGTCACCAGGTCCAGCTGCTACTTATGAACCAACAAACTTCTTTCAGAAAATTTAATAAATCAAGAATGGAAGTTCTCAAGTTCTCAAAGGTGTGATGGTGGTATAGCAATATAATGATTGCAGTATGACATTTACTATAGTGTAGTACAGTAGACCACTGTTTTTGACAGATGCACAAAATACCTCATTTGTCTGCGTTTACTGTTTATGGCAACAAAATCTACTGAAAAATAAGATGGATATTGCTTGAAACATATTCTGGTTTCTTTTTATATTCAAATAATATGACAAGGATAGGAACTAGGATTTTATAAGGATGAAAATTGATGAGAAAAACTGGATTTCATGAAGCATAAATGAAACATCCTATGTAGGAGGAAAAGAGTATCTCTCATTGTTACATTTCCTACAAATTGCTAATAAAACAAAGTGTACCGTGTAATTATCTCCGGTCATTATCTCTAAGGCAGTGTAATAGACTAGTTCTGTGCATGGTACCATTTTATACTGTTTCAATGTATCAAATAGATGCAACTGAAGGAAAACAGTCAATTGAACTGAGTTCAAGCTGGTTAACTGATCAATCAAGTCCAGCTATTCTGTTGAAATTATGGACTATATGAATGACAGCTGGACTCAGGCAATGTTTAGAGGAATGTTTTGGGATATTAGTTTCAAACTGTACCCTCTTGGTTTTTGGCACCAGCGCAGCAGGAAGTGATTTGGAAAGTTGACAGGTTCCAGCTGAACACCCAGCTTCCTGGCCAATGTCATGTAGAGAACAGAGAGGCTTATGGGAATGCCTGTATGGCGTAGTAGCACCTAAATTAAAACCAAAAAGGCGTAGTTGGTTAGGTGAAATATATATATATATATATTTAAAATGAAAATTGTTAAGAAGTGATTCAAAGGCTTGACACTTAAAATAGATGTGTTTTACCTGGTGGATGTAAGAGTTGAGGGGATTGTAGTAGTCGAACTCGTTGCCTTTGTATTGAAGTTGCTCATATAAGACAGAGTTTAGGGCACACACCACCTGCCTCTGGAGATCAAAGTCCTCCACGACCAAACAGTCACCTACATCACACACAAGAAATTAAACTCCATAAAGACTTGGCTGAGAGGGAAATACAATTTTTTTTGGGGCCGAAATCTTTTCCCAAATAGATTTACTGATATTGATTTTTTTTTTAAATGCATTGAAAGTGTAAGCCTTAGGGATTCAAGTGTTCCAAAAGGGCAACTTTTCATTCCAAGTTTTTCAACTTTTGAAAGCTCACCTTGAGCCATACGCAGGCTGGGGTGAGAGGGGTTCTTGATTCTCAGCATCTTCTTCACTTTTTCTGTGATCTCATCCACCTGGGCTGATATGCTGTCCAGTGACACATCAGCCAGTGGGTTACAATACTGATCCACCAGTACAGCACCTAGAGGGGCAGATGAGATAAGGTAGGGCTGCTTGATGCACAGAGAAAAAGTTGTACATTAAATTGCATGAACCTATTATAAACATAGTATAATAATTACACTGAGCAGCAATAAAATACACATTGTAACTATGGAGATGGCTTAGCTAATGTAAATGTATAATAATAGGGCACAGTTAATGAGTTTGGTTCACATGGGGTCTGTATGATGCCTCACCTTCAATAGATGACTGCTGCTCTGCAGGCTGCTCCAGGAAGGTCTTCAGACTCCTCAGGATGTTCTGCTGTCTCAGGAAGTAAAGGATTTTCTTTGCATAGTACTTCAAAGTCAAGCTTTTCCTAATGATGGGCGGAGAACAGTAGAGACACATTAATGGTCCAAAGGCTGAGAGTGTGCAACACAACAGCTTTCATAATAACAGAAGGATTAACAAGATCAACACCCAAACCCATTAATGATTGCAAAATGCAACGTGTGGCAAGTTCTGAGGTTTTACTGTGGGCACGGTGTTGCTCTCACCTCTTGTCAGAGTTGAGTATGAAGAGGAGCTCATCCTCACAAAAGTGCTCTGGCATCCCAAGTGACTCGATCTCTGCAAAGCTGTCTCCCAGCACCTGGCCAACGCAAGGCTGAGTTACAGATCTCTGGGTTAGTTTGGAATATAGAAAGCTCACATTTTCTTGCACAAACATGCGCCCACACTCACAAAAAGGCCAGCCAATTCACAGTGGGTGACTTTTATTCAAATGGTGCATCTAAAATCCTGGTCGAATGTAATAACATAATCATAACAATAATAATGTATTCTTGATTACAAATGGATTACTTACGACTTCTGTGAAGAATCTCTTTGAAATTGATTCCACCGTCCTTCTTATTTGTATACCAACTCGATGGCGTGTTTTGTATTCTTTGAGCCAGTCACAGCTCTCATTCTGACGGTAAAACCTCTGCAGTCTTGGCCATCTGTTGAAGAAAGCAGTACAATTGTTATTTCAGTAACACTTTTGGCCATGCTCAGAATTAGTTATAAAGCTCATAGCCTCAAGCAGAACATGATATGCCTATGGAACAATTGCTGCAGATGTGGTTTTCTCCTTGCAAGAAGAAAAGGAAACTAGGAGAATAACATGGAGCTCATAGCCAAGTCAGTCAGGAGGAGGGCTTAGCTTTTGCCAAGAGCTGCACTCTCCTGCATAGCACAGCATGCATGCAACATTCAAGGTCATACAATTGAATTTTCGGCTGTTCCAGGTTAAAGTCAGTTTAAACTGGAATTTATATTTGTATTTGTAAGATTTACAAGCTTCATAGTTGTCTGCAGAGTAGCATATTGCCACTGGCCTGGCGTAATGATGAATTTGGTGCATCAGCAGAGTGTCAACGGCTGACAGCTGAGTTCGCAGCAAACGAGCCGACCTTTAAGTACACAATATGCGATTTTGGACTCCAAATAAGACACATATAAAAAGACATGGACACTCGTTTCGATAGATAGTGGTGAAAAACCACCGGAAGCCAAAACTCCGAAAAAATACCACAACAAAAATCATAGCACCTGAGTTTGTACTGGTGTCCCCAGACCTTCCCCCTTCCATGGCAGACGTCGTGTAGCCGCTTGCAGCAGCAGGAAACGTTACAAATGTCAACATGTTTGAGGACAGGGAAGCACAGGATGTGTTCGAGCAATTCGGTCGGCAGGTCGGTCAGTTTTTTGGTTTGGGGGTCGGAAATAATTCCATTTAGACTTGTCTGCCCCTCTCCAGCTACAGACGTCGCCATCTTTACTGTTTACCCCGATTACCTCATTGCTCAGGCACCTCCCATTTATGGCGCAGGGGGCAGGACTGGGGGCGGGTCAGGGGAGGTTTAGTGCCGTGTGATTGGTAGTTCGATCAAAAGGAAAGGGGAAGGAATGCTACCTTCACGCTCCTCAGAAATTCCATATTTTGTTAAATTTTATTTATTACAGAAATCAATGAATGTACAAAGTGGAATGTACTGCAAATTATTCAGTTTTAAAAAAGAACCTCTAGGTTAAAGGTACTTGACTTGTACAGGCAAACTCATAAGATGTCCTCTCTGTCAACGACAATAGGATCCTTCTTTTACAGAAGATGTTGTAGTGAATTTGTAGTTTTACAAAGAACGGTAAACTTGTAGGATAATATGTGCTCATAAGAAAAGGGCTGCATTTTGATTTATTTTAGCATAAATGCTTAGGCGGGCCATTCTGAGGTAGAGGAAGCATATGCAAATGATTTGTTATTAAGGCTACATAGCGCATGCTATCAAAAACAATACAACCCTAAAACATTTCATTATCAGCATTTTAACTTGATACCGTGTTGTGCTGTCATTCAAAAATGTCACGCTCTGTAATCCACATAAACTCCTTTCTGTTCGTTTTTAATGCCTAATGTGCGTTACCGTGTTGTTTCAAAATTCTGGACGGCACTTGAATGCAGCATTGCCTTTTTCGATAAATGGCTAACAAATGAATAGCAGCAGTTAGCTAAAGCTTCGTTTCCAGCCCAGTGTTTGTGCTACAACCCGAGTGTTTTTAACTCTCAAGAAGGGATTTGTTGTATTGATTGTTTCTTGGACGCGTAGCTGTAAATGGCAACGGATTTCACGGCAGAAATGTATAACTTTAGCGCAAGATGAGAGCGTATATCGGATATGTAATGTTAGTTAGCTAACTTAGTTTCTATGTAACCTAGCGTTAAGCGTTAGCAACAAGATTTGGGCAGTACACTGCATTTATCAGCTCATGTGTTTGTGAACTTTTTCTTTGGTAGCTAACGTGAAATGATAGAAAACTACCATAAGGTATGTAAAGTTTATGAGATATTTATACACCAATAACATGTCAGTAAAAGTATCATTCATAAACGTTGATGAAACTCGCTTATAAGCATCTATCTGAACGGGCTAAGGTATCATAAAGCTGGACAGTCACATGCACAACTGTGCTTATCTTTTGACAACTATGCCAAATGACTCACCTTTAGTCTCCACCAACGAATAAAAAAAGATGTAATGCCTTTATAGTGTACTCTTTTTTGGGGGGAATTAACAACTTTGGATAACTGAATAGTTAGTTTATTAGCTATTCACAATGGCAAGTGCCTTAGCAGCAAAGATGGGATTTAAGTCACTAAAGAGAAAACAAGCCAAGAACTTCAACGTCAGGATCTGCACAATGGAGTCAGACATGGAGTTCAGCTGTGAGGTTTGTATCTGTGATAAATCTCTGCATGATTTTATTATACTTATTGTAGAATATTCCATTTGTAGGGGCTCTAATCACAGCACCAGGTTCACCTCTGTTCTTCTACTAACTGCGACAGTAAATAACAGTCAACGGTAATAAAACTACTTACATATTCTATGCTTAACCATAATCAGGGATGACAGCTGAATCAAGAGCGTAGGTACGGAGTTTATCTCGGCGATAACAGCAGCGATAGTTCCTTATAAAGATCTTTGAGTGTTTCATTTTTCAACACTAGATGGCAGCAAGTAGCTATGAACACACGCATAGGTTAAACTGTTCTGCAGAAGACCTTATCTGTTATAATTTATCTCTGTCGTATACAGCAATGGAATCAGAAAAATTGGAAATCAGTGGCAAAGCACAGTGCAGTATGGGACTTGCACTGAGCAGGATGGAACAGAATCATGCAGTTTCACCATAAAAATCATTGTCATACTCAATGATTTCTCTACTACATAGTGTCATACTCTGTTTTATACTTACAGTGTCTTTGAAATAGTATATGACTTGGTTGATGATATGTACCAGAGCTGAAAGCCATCAAAATTACTTGCAGACACCATCTCTGTACTTAAAAGGGAGGAACCCCGCCAAAGTTTGCAGTTGGTAATTACAAAGAGCAGCATGATGTTAGTTGCAGGTTTCTATTTTCTGTCCTGGGGTGATAATTTTATCAATTATGGGTTTCATAAATAGCATTTAAAAGGGAGAGGTCATATAGATGAACTGTTCATTCAGCCTTGCGTAGGAATTTTTTGATTGGCCCCTAGCTGCCATCCCTGCTGCATGGTGGAGCTGATATCCTCATTTCTTGCAGTTTTTTTTCAAACCAACCTTGAATACTCTTGACAGTAGCTTGCACCCTGAGTTAGCTCAGAGGCTAGAGATGAAAGCTATCTAAATTGGATATGTGTGCATCATGTACCCCCCTCCTAGCACTCTGCATGAGAGCAACATGTGTGGCTCCCAGCTTTGAACCAGACACTGAGTTTATGATGGAAATGGGGGTATGTCTGGCTTCGGAAGACATATCATCTTATGAATGGCTTTCAGTATTTAACCTTATAAAGAATTAAGTGCTTCTGTTTTCTTGCTAATGCATATAAATTAGGGGCAGTCAGTGAATGATATGAATCTTACAGTCAAATCTGAAGCTTTAACAGACTGAATTTTCATTCTTAGCTTAGAATTTTTTCAATTCTGGAAATATGCATTTTCTACTTTTCTCTTCTGAGAAAATTGTGCAAGACTAAAACATTTACATGTTTCAGGTCAAGTGGAAAGGAAAGGATCTTTTTGACTTGGTATGCCGAGCTCTGGGCCTGAGGGAGACATGGTTCTTTGGGCTCCAATACAACATCAAGGACACTGTTGCTTGGCTGAAGATGGAAAAGAGGGTGAGTGATTCGAATGTCATACTGGTGATGTTAGCAGCTACTAGTCATGTAAACACTGTTCATATACAGGTGTAGCAGCCATGAAAAGGAAATGGATTTCCCCACTGTGCAAATGCTGATTTCTTTACTTGGTTGTTGCAGGTTCTGGATCAGGAGGTACCAAAGGAGGAACCAATCACCCTTCACTTCCTGGCCAAGTTTTATCCTGAGAATGCTGAGGAGGAGCTAGTGCAGGATATTACACAGCATCTCTTCTTCCTACAAGTAACTATGCATAATATAAACATCCAGTTTTTTTCATTGTGCTCATGTTCAGAGTTTTGTTTTCTGAATCTCAAGGTAATATTTTTTTCAGGATTCAGGATATACTCATGAGATACTTAACTTGTCGTCTTCCTTTCTGTTTCACTTGTGCTTACCGTACCATAAAGGCCTCATGTGCAGGTTCTTTGTGTGCTTACATTGACTGACACATTCTCTTCTTTCTCAGCTGCTTTCTGACTTGAAATTGCCACAGGCTGACAGGCAAACCTGAAATCCAACATGCCTCTCAGAAGAAGCTGTGGATTACTGTCTGGCTAGTGGGCAGACAACCTCTCTTCCCTTGATTGTAATCCTCCCAGAGGGGTGCTGCGTGTGAGGCTTTAAAAAGAAAACATTCTTAGAAGTGGGTGTCATCTTTCTGAGGAACTAAATTAGTTCGAATGAATGCTTTAGAAAAGAAGTGTACGAGAACATGAGCCTTTTAAAATGGCCTGTAAATTTGGGATTATCCATTTCACCCTTGCACACCAGGCATTTGGCTGTTGCTCTGCATCTGCGTCCTCATGCAGCTTCCTTATTGAGATCCCGTGCCGACAGGGGGCATGCGTCCACAAGAGTTTCCGACAAGCAGAGCGCTCTGTAATATACTTTTTTTTTTTTCACTTTTTGTCCCTGTCATGATTGTGTGCAGCCATGTGGAATCAATGCACAACATATTACCACTGCCCTTTCTCTCCACTTAATACTCTTCGGGGAATTCCTGTGGAGCCTGCCACACTATTCTGCTCACAAGAGATGAGATTTGTAACTGTGCCTCCACCATCCAATACTACCGGCCGCATTTATCAATTACCAATTAGGCTTTAAGGGCTCAGTTATTGGCCCAGTTAATGACATATTCTCCATGGGATGCTCGTCCCCCATAGCACTCCCTTCATACCCAGCCCATTGTGCTGGTTTAGTTATGTGGCTTTAGACAGCAGTGCACTTGTGTTGCTCAACATTTGGATAGAGGCACTTACCTACTTATAAAAAGTCTATCGTCTATCTGTGCCATTAATCCGTTGAGAGGTAGTTGAAGCAATTTATTTATTTCAGAGGGAGACCATGTTAAAAAAAAAAAAGACTACAGCTGACAAATTACTCAACAGTTAAAGCGATACGCAGCTACAAGGGGAGAAGAATACAAATGTGTCACGCTTTGCATCGCCTGTCTCCTTATAACTTTGCTCTCATTAATTCCCATAATGTCGGGAGCAGCCCTCTGTTCAGATAGCGTCACAGGCATGACAGCTGGATTAGTGCTTATCAGAATTGATCACCGACCCGGACACAAATACACACACACACACACACACACACACACACACACACACCTCTCAAACACTTGAGACCACTTACATAAACAGACACATGCACACCTTCATCACCCCGACCTGCAGTCTTCACAACAACATAGTCTCATTTGTAAACCAGATTGCTGCGTCAGCCTCTTAGCACTTGCCACATTTAGGGGGGCTGTCACCTCTGGCTCCACACCTTTGTCAGTTCAAAACACAAGATGACAGCATGACAGCTTTGCAAATGATAAGGTTTGAAGCATTAAATTGTATAACTTATATAACTACATCCAAAGCATGTTTGCCCCTTCTAATCTTACAATCCGGCTTTGTGCTCTATATGTAGCTATGCAAGTTTGTGATTCAATTAGTTTGACGGGTGACGGAGCTTGGGGGAAGTGACACCTGGTGAGAAGTGGCACTTTAATCTGGAAGGAGCTTGTTAAAGGGGATTGCCACCCATTTTAAGAATTCACATTTATTACTGTGATCCATGACAGTGAAGGCAACACTTGTAAACATGAACCATGCTTTCCTTTAGACATAAATTGGAGACCCAAACCTTGAGTTTGTCACGCTCACTGACTGGAGTGAATTCACAAACACAGAATCAGATATCCTAGGGGCATAGAAATAACACAAATTGTAAAAATGGGCAGCGTTCTCCTTTAATTACCATTTGGAGCTTGTCTAGGACTTTCTGTCATGTCATTATGCTCTGCTGACTAGCAGGCTGATATTCTTGGAGCAGCTTAATGATCATATGAAATACTGTTGGCTGAGCTACATAGTTCCTGGCTTGGTGTCTAATAGGTCCCCATGTGGCTATGATACTTAAGTCTTACAATATTTATTTGGCACAGTTTGTACTCTTTCCAGACCTTCTCTAAAAATGAGCGAGCACCAGTCTGCTGTAGCTGTGGTAGTTTATTTACCCAGGTTGCAGCATATAATAACTTGATTTTTGTGGCTCCAAAAAAATTGGTACTTGAGCTCGGTGTTTTTGCAGTGTATGGCTCTTGCAAAGTGGAATTAAGGAAATAAAGTTCTGACTGTCAAAAGCACAGTTGTCAGAAAGTTGTGTTGTAGCGTGCGCTGTCACTCTCCTCTCTGAGGTATCAAGTATTTTTTCCATTGTGTATGAGTCAGGTTAGATCACCTGTCACAAGAATCATTTTGCTCCTCTCGTGGAAATCTATATAAAGGAAGACTGAAGACAAAAAGCAGCTGTGTCCTGATTCATAATGTAGGTGATAGTTTTCCCTCCAAAAAAAAAAAGAAAAAATCCCAGCCTCACTGGAAACAGTGAGAAGCTTCTCCTCTGATTTAACAAACAGCTAAATGCCACAGACGATACATTAGCTGCATGGTTAATCCTGAATTGATTTTTGTGTTAGGAAGGTGAGGTGGAATGAAGAGGGCTTTGTTATTCAGGTGGTTACATGCATAAAGCTGATTTATATTTGCTAACTCTGCAGGTGAAGAAGAAGATCCTTGAGGAGGAGATTCACTGTCCACCCGAGGCCTCTGTGCTGCTGGCCTCCTACGCCGTCCATGCCAAGGTTAGTGCTCTTTCTGGAGTTTCAGTTTTTAGTCTTATTTATGTTCAAACAAGGTTTATGTATCCATCTGTCTGCCTAGCCTTTAATGGTTTCTTTATCCTTCCTTTAAAATTTGCAGGACCAAATGGCAACTTCTTATCCTCCTTACACATATATGTTTTTTTAAATTATAGGTCTGATTAGATGCTAATAGATGTGACTCACTCATTAGAAAAGGGTGTTTTCCCTAACTGCACCCTAGAGTGTAATGGCTATAATAAAAATCAGTGAAAACTCAGCAGCTGTAGAGTTTTGGGAGTGTCATATTTGACGCAGTGGGGCTTCAAATCACTTTAAACTGACTGAAGGAATATACTGGCCCCTCTGGAACTGCCTTCAACATGTTTATTTACCTACATCTTATGTAATGAATTCTTTGAGGCTGTAGATGACTATATATTTAAAAAAAATATCTGAACAAACTTGTGGGCCAAATGGGTTCATTTTGGTCACTTTGTTGTTCATCATCTGGAAAGTGACATATTGCTGTAGTGCGTCTTTTTCTCTATTAGACCAGGACAGAGAGACTGCAGGCTTTTGTTACCCATGGGCTTGACAATTGTAATCTTCTCCGTATCTGGCCTCCACCCAAAAAGCCATAAATCTGCTGCAATTGATCCACAATTCTGCTGTCTGAGTCTTGATAAGAACCAGGAGAGCACTCATTACACCTTCACAGGCTACCTTTGATATTGATTTTTAAAATTCCTTTAGTATTTCATGAAGTGCTACAGGGCCCTTGCATGAAATGTTTTAGATGTACAAACCAGCAGCTTGGGTGCTCTGGAAGTAAGCTTTTAACTTGCTGTTCTAACATGTAGATCAAACACCTCTGCCAAAGCAGCACCTGCCCACTGAAGCAGCCACCAAGCAGATCTGATGCAGGAAGCAGAAAGTCACAACTAAAATCTCATTTAATTAAACTGAGAATACATAGCTACTGAAGAGGTGCAGCCAAATAGTGTCCAGTTTGGTGCCATATATGCTTTTTACCACTGATGCAGTTATAGCCTCTTTGGGTTGTTACCTCCAGCATGTAAAGGGACTATTTGCAGCGTTAAAAGCAATGAGGATGAGGGTTAGCACCTTCAAGTTAGAAGACGTTGTTCTCTGCTGCTGTGAATGTTTACTTTTGTGCAAGCAAGTTTTGGGAGCAAGTGGCTGCCCCAAGTGAAGGAGGTCGGGTATCTTGGAGATTGACAGGCAGGTTATTGCAATGTCCGCAAGAATGTAATGGTTAAATTATACATTTCTGCAGTGTTTAATTTGTAAATCAGGAAGTCACAGCTGTTTACAAGCTGTCTCTCTCGTTGACTGTTGTCCCTTCACTTCCGTATTGTTTCCCTTCTGACTGTGGATTTGCTACAATGGGGTGAAAATGGAATTAGGGCTGAAAGATCTATTTACACCCATGAAAAGCCGCATCTAAGAAACAGATCAAAGTGACGTGCTCCATCGGTCTACCTATCGATCTCCTCCGCTCTGTTTAAGTACTAACACGGCACATCATCCACACATAGCTAACAGCGCTGTCCATGGTCCTGAAACAACAGCTAAGCTATGCAATAGTCACATGTATCTCGGCCAATAATTTTGTTTTTGCTATTTTTCTATAGATACATAAAGCTTGAACATAGGGGGCAAAAAAATACAAGAATCTAATGTGACAATCGAGCCCAGAGTAGACTACACATGCACATATCATGGCCACAACAATGGGACATTTCATTCAGGTGTCACATGCGTCAACTGACATTTCTTTTTTAAAATCAGATTTAAAATGCATCAAAAATAGACAAACAACTGATTTATGAGTAACTTTGATAGGAATTAAACAATACACAAAATTTATTTATAGATTTTTATAGTGGCAAAGGAGGTGCCAGATCCAATCAAACAGGTGCTCGTTCCAATCTGGTAGGTTCTGAAATCCATCACAAATAAAGCCCTTAATATCGGTATATGCTGTAGTCCAGGCCAGCTGAGGAACTAAGACATCTGGAGGGTGCTTGAAGTAGAACCACTGCTCTCCTGCACTGAAAGGAGCCAGTTAAGTTATTTCAGGCATCTGATCAGAACGACCTCCGTGGATGAATGCTCACAGAAGTGGTTAAGATCTGTGGGTAGGTCTGGAGGTGTGTATGCTGATGCGAATGAAGCAGAGGCAGAAAAGTGTGAATGGGATCTATTGCAGCTGCCCACAGCATCTAAACTAAATCTGACAGTCTATTCTGGTATAGATTTTATGTCATATTATCCAGCCCAGGTCAAAACTGACCTTTTTAGACTGGCTTTTGCCAAGAGTGTGTTTATGATTGTCATTTGTACTCTAATGGTATTATTGTTTTATTCCCCTTCACCCCAGGTTATTCCTATAGCACTTATATTTCTATTTCTCGATATTTTGATAGGATTTTTTGGCCTGTTCTCTTTAAGTTTGTGTATGTGTTCGTCCATATTGTTTAACTGTTTGTGTTTATGTATGTAACTCAGTACGAAAGACAGCATGTAAAAACTTTCATTGATTTACTGGTTGAGGATCAGACAACAAGTTACCTGATGTGTATGGAAATCACTCCACAGGAAAAAGCTTCCTTAATAAACCTCAAGCGATCTCACTCGTTTTGGTTGAAGGATCCCGTCTCTCTGAAATCCCCAAGAAAAAGATACGGAGAGTGAGGTGCAGCTTTTTGACAGGCGGACAGGGTCTAGTGACACTCGAGCTCTACCTCAAAGATTTGGCCAAGAGCCCTCAGAGACTCGCCTTTCCCCATGCCAATTTACAGGCCTAGGAATAAAGGAGACTATGTGGATCAAGAAAAATCAGCAAATCAGCTCGGGGCTTGTATGTGCTGTCTGCTGCCAGCCCGCCTCGATCTGGAAACTGCAAAAAAAAAAAAATAAAAAAAAATAAGGGGCCACAATTTGTTTTCATTTAATCAGCAGTCCACTTTGATTAGAGCCAGTATGAGTAAATTGGTATTATAAAAGGGGAGACAGGTACTTGTTTAGCAGTGCAGCTGCTGAGAGGTTTTTGGCAGACTTTTCTTGTCTCTTTTTCTCATCATGAGTTGTTATTGTGCAGAGCTAGTGTGTAGCCTGTGAAGTAGAGTATAGCACACAGTGGGATCTACTTTGGTACCCTGGTTTCATCTTTAATCATTATTATGCCAGCCTGAAGATAACAGTAAGGAGAGAGTATGGGCGTATTCCAAGACAGCTTTAATGTTTGAAAGAGAACTTTTTTTTCTTTTTCTTTTTTGTACAATGTGAATCATAGCCATGCTCAGGTACGGACCGTCGCGCACAGACAGACTCCGTGTGTGTAATCAGTTTCCAGTCGGAGCAGAGATTGCAGTATAATTCACAACAGACGAAGTAGGAAGCCATAAAAGCTACCATTACCTTGTTTGAGTTACAGAGAGTGCATGAATAGAGGGGATAATAGAAATGAGGGATAGTGGAGGAATGTGTGTGTGCACAAATGCTCCGACTGACTTTTGTACCGTGGGAGCTTGAACACAGATACGTGCACATATAGAGGGACTCCATGGTCTCAGTCCATCACAAAAAGTAATATTGTTTCGTCACTCATTTGAAAAAATATATACACCTTGTACACAGTATGGCATGTTTATAGACACTGACCCATACATTTCATGCAGCATTATACAATATACTAACATTATGTTATGTTTTACTTTCCTATATGTTACAGTCTGTGTATGTTATGATAGCTGCATGAAAGTGACCAGAATTACTCAATATATACAAATGCTATAGGTCATCTTCAGTTTGGAATTTTAATCCATCATAATTAAGTTTCTCATATTGTATTAAAATACTAAAAATGTTTATTTTTATGGCTGTAACGAAAGAGTATTTTCATCTGCCTTTATGATCTGTGATAAATTGGTTGGTCTTTACTATATTTGCTGTTTTTTAATATGAACATGCCTGGCCCAGCTATGGTGCAAGTTTGGTGTTACTGTCCTGTTGGTGTTTTGAAAGTTTACATTTTACTTGTGGGATACATTGGTTTCTATGCATTTTCCACCAACCTTCTCCAAGACAATAGTTATTCATTCATTCATTCACCCTGGACAGGTGGCCAGTCTATCACAGGGCTGACATATAGAGACAAACAACCATTCACACCTAAATACAATTTAAAGTTTCCAATTAAACTAACCTGCATGTCATTGGAATGTGGGAGGAAGCCTGTGCCGGCACGAGGAGAACATGCATACTCCACACTAAAAGGCCCCAGCAGGCTGTTAGGTTCAAACCCATAACCTTCTTACTGTGAGGCTACAGTGTTAACCACTGCACCAAAGTGCTGCCAATAAACTAGCAAATTCCCAATATGTCAGAATATTTCTTCATTCATGTATGAAATGTTTTAAATCATCAGATTTGAGGAGCACACTAACTTCTCGGGGGGTATTTGTGCGCATGTGTAAGCCAGCAGTGCAGTCTTTGTGGGTCTGCAGAGCTTTCACTGACTCCTGCTTTGTATTCTGAGTTGGTGCGGTGCTACAAGGGGGTGTTGACAGGGAATTGCAAGAAACAGCCGCTGTGGAAAAATGGAGAGGGAGTCACTCTGTCACAGAGGTTGAGTAGGGAGTGAGGTCAACTACCTCAGCCTCAACACCACTGGGGGGTGTGGAGATCTGTGTCTAACCGAGTGGGGAGGGATGCCACAGACTAACAGGCATGAATGACAGTGGTGGGAATCATTGTGTTTTACAGGTGGCCTCAGAAAGACTTGTACCTAAACTACATTTTTGAAAATTGAATGAGACGGCCTCTAGGCTACAGTATGTTCACTCTCTAGATATATCTGTTTTTCTTTTAACCTTGCATCATGCGACACAGATGTGATGATTTCCAATCTGTGTAAACAGTTGCACTTTTCATTTTCAGTCTGCACTATATAATATGTTATTTAATACTGGCTGGAATTCATCAGCTTTGCCTTGAGAGAGTATGTAAATCCTGCTTCACTTCACCTGTCTCAACTGACCACAGTTTGGGTGAGCCAGCATTAGCCTGAGGGACAGAGATATGGACTGGGAAAGACTAAATCATTTTGCCATGTAATCTGTTGTTGTTACCCATTTACACTTCAAAATTGTATCTCACGTAGGTTACACACTCTAAATGTATACAGAAAGTATACATATTAACAATTATGAAGAGTTAAGTCTCACCGATGCAGTGAATGAATGTTTGTACCTAATGTCATGGCAATTCGTCCAGTAGATGTTGAGACATATCCTCCAAAATCACAAGTGTGATCCCTAGAGCTTTGGGACTAAAAACTGACCCCCGAACATTGAACAGTTGGCTTAGTTTTGCTGTATAGTCATCTATGGAAGTAGCTTACCAGTTCTAGCAAAAAGAACTCCCATTTTGCAATGATGCTTTTCACTGGTTAAAGTGTGTTTCACACTATTGTACTGTAAATGGATTTTCTTCAAAGCACCTGGACCATGTGAGAAATTCTGTACATTTCTTAGATTTAGAAAGGGGGATTTATTGAGCAGAATATATCCATCAGGCTGTGGTCACTGTTGTGCTACTGGTGATAATTGTTAAGTGAAAATATTGACACATAGCTGTCCTTTGAGAATCAATTGCTGCTGTTAGTTTGGGGTTGTTGGAAATAATTGGAAGAAAGGTGTGAAATCAGAAAGCATCTGTCGCTGTCAACATGCCATCCTCTCTCTCCCTGAGCTGGAGCCTAGTTATAAGTCTATATATGATCAATTATGTAGCAGTTACAAACAAACAATAGAGGAACTGAGGGAGTAGAAGCTACGAGGATGGGAAACTGAAGAGAAAGAATCTAATTAAATGGCCCTCGGCTTCTCCACTCTGTTAGCCACTGCACCGGTGTTCCAGGCTTTCCGGTCCGTGTGTTGAGCTTATTAAATTCAGGTCTGTTAAGTACTGTTTTCAGACGGGTGTGCCCGAGAAAAATCCAATTAAAGCTCATAATAAAAGTAATAGTATAAACACAACAAAACAGCACAACATATGGAATTAGTTAGCTGATTAGAGCCACACAAGTGCTCAGAAGCTTTTCATTTATTCTGTGCAAATGAGCCACAGTGTAAAAGTTCACAATGAAAAAAAAACAATTGAGGCCATAAATTTCATGTGTTATCATTGTTTTAAAGGAGCTATTTGTAAGTTTTGCTATTGCTCCATAGGTAACATTAGCCTTAACAGTTGTTTACGTACCAGTCTAGAAGAAACATTGCGAGTTCAGCATCAAAAATAAAAAAGATTCCTTTACTTACCAAGAGCTGTCTCTAGTAGTGGAAAGCAACGCCGATGTTAACTCTTGTTTCTATCACTTGTCATGTCTCGTCACTTTCTGATAGTGACCCATTGTAGCTTCCAATTTGCCCTAGAGACAAAGTGTTGCTCAGAGAGCGTATTATAACCTTTTTATTATAAAGACAATGATGGTCAAAGCTCTTGTCATGTGACAATCACCACCACCCACTCCCGTTCAATGGCAGAGAAAAACTTACAAATAGCCCTTTCAGGACTTGATGATGTATTTTCCTCCAAACATAATGTCATGTAATATTAGAATACTTGGTTTTGGTGTCGGCCCCTTCCCTTGCGTTTCTGAGACGTTTCTGCTTGGCCAGAGGGTTGTCTTTAGCTCTCTGAAACCTTAGTGGTGGTCATTTTTTGGGGAAGAGTTTTCAAGGATGCCCTTGAAAACTCTTCCCCAAAAAATGACCTTAAAAAAAGCAATCTCATACATACATTATGAGCCAATCAGAGTCCAAGAAGGAGCGATCAAATGGAAGTGAATAACTGGCAATTAAACTCCTTTGATGTGAAGCATCTTCATTAAGTGTTGGCCATATGAAGATAGGAGAGAGGATAGATCCCTGAGAGTCTAGATGCTGCTGGTGGTGGTGGAGCAGAACCAGTGGGTGGTTGATGGAATTGCAATAGTAGGCATGAAAGACAGATGGGCAGAAATGCAATGAAATTTTAAAGAACAGCATCCCCTGATTGATTGGCTTGAAAAACACGGGCAGAAAGATCATTGGTCAGATATGATGATGTCTGGATTGTGAATGGAGGGATCTGACGGTGTGGGAATCGGGACGTGACAGAGAGAAACAACTCAGCAGTATGTAGCCAACATTAACCCTTTGAGGAACATGAGGGAAGAAGTCTTCCTCCTTGAACTGTCGTCAAAGCTTCGTGTGGAGAAATTTGATGATAGACCTAAAATGTGAAGACTCATGGATGAAGTTAGATTTTCTATAATATTTACTACATTTAAGTTAGGTGTCACTCAGTAATGAACATGTAATCATACACCAGTGCTATGGCAGTGTTGTGGAGTAATTAAAATAAAATAGAAAATAAATATAGAATTGAAAAAATAGCTTCTTCCTCTAATTTCAAATATCAATATATCAATAGCAAAAATTACCAACTAAACAAATCACAATGCAAAGAAAAAAAACCCAACTAGATTTGATAGTGATAACTGAAAAACATGCGTCAATGCACAGGTAAATGTTCATGTTAGCCTACTTACATACATCTACAGTCATAGCTCACTTTTTGAACTGTAGCTACATGTATAATTCATATCCTTCCACCAGTGTTTCAGTAGCCCAGAGGAAATGCCCCACCGCCACTCAGTCATGCCTAATCCATTCATATCTCTCTTCAAACATGCATAATATAATTTGTAACCCAGCTCTATGATGATAAGTGATCAGTCGCAGCTCTCTTGGAGATATTTCTAATAGCGTCATTTATAGTCTCCTGACAACTGGGCCACTGGGTGTGTGGTGCGCGTTAATGACCTGATGGCAGACCAGCCTCCATTCGTTCTCCCAGAGACCCTTTTCTTACAGGCGCTGTAGTTTCATCTTATGAACAGCTCCCAGGAGAGACTTATAGTCTGGGCTGTTATTGGAGAGAAGGTGGATAGTAGCCATTAGTTTGGAGTGATTTTAATCCTTTTGTCACTTTTGCTCCATTTTACAGTACAGAGACTACGACCCTAATGTTCACAAACCTGGCTTCTTGGCGGAGGTGGAACTGCTGCCAAAGAGGGTGAGTGACAGCAGGGTTTACTTATTATCATTCATGAATGAAGGTGTTTACATCTTTGTCTTACTACCTAGGCCTACACCTGCATTATGATGCAGTGTGTGGCGCTGCAGTGTGTATTATATTTCCTGCGTGCGTTCATGGATATTTATGTCTGTCTCTCTCCATTTCAGGTGATTAACTTGTACCAGATGACTGCAGAAATGTGGGAGGAGAGGATCACAGCGTGTTATGCGGAGCACAGGGGCAGGACGAGGTAAAAACTGCTGCACTGAACTGTACCACTGAAATTCCACAGTCATCAGCACAATTTCAATTTTGCCTTCACATAGCAGCTGCTTAAAAGTTGGGTTCACAAGAAATGTTTTATGCAAAGCTGTAGTCCATTTTGGCAGGCAGATGCAAAAAGACTGGCATGAAAGTTTTTCTGTAGGAAACTTTTTTTTTTAACATTTATTGTTGATTAAGGAAATTCACAGCTCACCACAGCCTATGATCTATCAATGAAACAAAATTATTAATTGAGCTATTTTGAGAAAGGATCCAAGTATGGAGCAAATGTATTGTTGCGAAAAGGACTATATAAATGATATTGCTGTAATGGCTTCCATAAATCTAAAATGACAGGAGAATGAAAATCAGTTGCTCTGTTGTTGCACTTTGCTCCATCACTGAGCTGAACTAAGTTGGAAATGGACAGGGAGTAAGTGTGAGGGATGTGGAGTGTCTTTAAACTCCCGTGGGTGGGGAGTTTGGGATTGGAAATTGAGTTCTAAAAGCCAGAAACCTCAGCACTTTGAAAAGTAATAATTGAGTCCCCGGTGCTGATCAATCACCTTTGCAACTCAAGCAGAGCGAGTGCAGTTGGTAGTCCTCACACCTTTAGCATTTGAAATGTTTACTAAGTGATGTAGTGTAGTGGGGGACACGGGAGGGAGGTCACTGATCTTGTTCCTGGGTTTTGGTATCAATTCTAAAACAATGTATTTTTCTTTTTTTTCCCAGAAATTTGATAATATATAATTATAAACATGTTTTTATCCATGCACATGTCCCCTAAGGGAGTTGCATGTGACTTGTGTCTCCCTCAGGATAAATTGTAATAACTTTGTTTGATTACATAACTTTTCATTTTGTACCAACATCAGGTCAAAAAATTAAATTTGTCCAATATACTGGCTACTGCAAAATGAATGACACTCCCACCGGCCTCAGTGGTACTTTGGGTTTAGTGCTAACCAGGAAATGTTAAAATGATTGAGTAAGATGGGGAACATAATGAATATACCTGCTAAACATCAGCACGTTAGCATTGAAATTGTGAGCATGTTAGCATGTTAATGTTAGCGTTCAGCTCAAGCTACCACTGTGCCCAAGTATCACAAACATCACAAAGCCGCTAGTTTGGTTTTAGGTTCTCGGTTCAGTGCTGTTTTTTCATCAAACAAAAAGCTTGAATTCTCAAGTGTGTGATGTTGTTGAACTTTGCAGAAATAACATAGTTGAAAACAGGCAAAATTTTTATTCATCTTAGGAACCAAAATAGCATTCAGGTTTAATATCCAGCCCCAGGTGACAACACACAGTTAAAGGCTTATTTCATCTGTATTTTGCTCCACATTATTTTAGAACTTGATTCAGATTTGATTATTAAAAAATTGATGTCAGCACAATATCAAAGTTATTCAACAGACACCCAGTTTTTTTTATAGAGTGCACCTCTAATGCTTTCACAGCATTAATCAAGAATTACCATTTAAATTTCCTCTGAGCAACTCATAAGTCAGAATGTAATGTGTCCAACCTATTTAAGATTTGTTTACTTGGCATAATGCTCTCTTGCCTGTTTAAACTTTGATGAAGCTTAAATCATCAGTTTTCCTACCACCCATATCAAACAGACAGTTATTAAAAGTTTGGGCGCCAGGATGCCCTGATTTTTCCTCAGCCATCAAAGTATGCAAATGTTCTTTTTTTTGCTGACTTGACCCTGAAATCACAACAGATCTGGCAACCAGGCTGCAGAGGGGGAGAGCGAGGAGGAAGAAGAGAAGAGTTTGATGCATTTGCTTTGTCTAACATAGTATTTAAAGGCTTGGGGGCATCAGAATAAGTCTTCTTTTTCCATCAAGCATAACCTCTAAAGCCTGTTAGCGAATTATAGTTGTGTTTTGTGTCGGTACTGTGCTCATGTTTTCACCCTCGCAAGAGCTGTGTGGCAGTTTTTATAGATCACACAACGTGACAGATGCTACACACAAAAGCAGAGGAAACAAGGTCTGATCTCTTTTTTTCTCTCCACTTCTGCACCTTCTCTCCTCTCCTCCCACCCTCCCTCCTTCCCTCTATTCTCCATTCCCTTGGATCCCTCTCAATCTCTTACTCTCTCTCTCTCTCTTTCGTTCTGTCTTTGAATTAGGGATGAAGCTGAGATGGAGTATTTAAAAATAGCTCAGGACCTGGACATGTATGGCGTCAATTACTTTTTAATCAGGGTGAGCCAATGCTGCTTTGTTGTATCTTTATAAAGTGAGCCAGTATGAAAGATTGGGTGGGGGGGGGGGGATTTCACCATGGTGTTATGAAATGAAGTGGGGCAAAAGCAGTCTGAGTCTCCTGTCTTAAATTGTCTTTCAATTTTGAAAAGTATTTTATGAACAAATTTGTATTTTTTTGGGTAAATAAAGAGAGAGTTATTACAGGTTTGTTTCTGTAATGACTCACCTGGAAAACATCCAAAACTGAAATTCACTTGAGGTGACTCTGGCCTTGATTGAGCCATTCTGTAAAAGGCTGAGACATTTTAAAATACCACCAACAAGTCAACCTCAGCCAAGGTAATTCACTGTATCATTACTTTCGAGTAAACAAGTCCAGACGGCACATATACACCCTGGCATTGTTCCGCTCAGCTCTAACAAATTTGTTTTGGCGAGCAGAGTCACCGCAAAGCCACCTCTGTCAAATGCAGGTACAAATGAAAGTTGGCTGTTGGATTGGTTGGTCTCACAACCGCTCTGCTAGTGTCCTTTAACAGATGGATAATAAGAAAAGCTTTGTTTAATCTGCTGTTGCGGTTTAGAATAAAAAGGGAACAGATCTTCTTCTGGGAGTGGACGCCCTGGGTCTGCACATCTACGAGCCGGACAACAGGCTGACACCCAAGTGCTCCTTTCCCTGGAATGAGATCCGCAACATCTCCTACAGCGACAAGGAGGTGGGAGAATCTGCTGTTGATAGAGCTGCGTGAAACAAAACTGAGATATACTCAGCCCTACATTAATGTGTAAGATCTGTCTTTTTTTTTTTTTTTTTTTTTTTTTTTTTTTTTCTGTTTTGACCAAAAGTTTGGGATTCTTGTCTCCTCAATGTTTAGTTCACCATCAAACCTCTGGACAAAAAAACCAATGTTTTCAAGTTCAACTCTTCACGTCTGAGAGTCAACAAGTTGGTGAGTTCAGCTGAAATGCTGAAAGCTGTTTTGACTGTGGCCGGCAAATATGGCTCACCACATACTTTGCTTTTCCAAATGCTTTTGGAAATGGAAGTGACTGGTGAATTACAATTTTTTTGAGGTACAGACCATTTTTATTTATTATAGAAAACGGCGCCCATTCATGGTTTTGTGTCTCTTGTGCAGATCCTTCAGCTGTGTATAGGGAACCATGACCTGTTTATGCGCCGGCGGCGGGTGGACTCGCTTGAAGTGCAGCAGATGAAGGCCCAGGCCAGAGAGGAGAGGGCCAGAAAACAGGTACTGAGAATGGAGAAACAAAGACGAGGTTGAACGTGTCAGTAGCCAAGTTTCCATCCAAATTTCCCGCAGAGTTTGACCAAATTTCCATACTTCCACTCATTTTTCCCACCATATCCTCTTTTCTTTTCCCGCTCTCCACCTGTCTGTGTCGCTCAGGTGGAGAGGCAGCATCTGCAGAGGGAGAAGCAGATGCGGGAGGAGGCAGAGAGAGCCAGGGACGAGCTGGAGAGGAGGCTGATTCAGCTGCAGGATGAGGCTCACATGGCCAATGAGGCCCTGGTAAGACTATGTTGTTTAGCTCAACCCAAAATCCACCATTTTGTTGTGCTATGTCACATATACACCAGGTTTACTCCACTTTCTTGCCTCTTTACTTCATCTCCTCCTGGTCTCGCCTCCTTTTCTTGTCATTTACTAATTCTTTCCCTTCAATTTCTCTCTCTGTTGCCTCTTTCCCTCTCCACCAATCTCCCTCACTCCTTCTGTATTTTTGTACACTCTCCTTCCTGCGCTTTACTGTTTCTCTGAACCTATTTTCATACCTGTCACTCCATTTCTCTCTTTAATGTCTGTTCCTTTGCTCCATTTCCCCATCTCCTCTCCCATTTTCAACTTTTTTTTGTCCTCTGTCCCCCTTCCTGTGTTTGCCCTTTCCTCCCCTCCCTCTTCCTGCTCCTCTCCAGCTGCGTTCAGAGCAGACGGCGGACCTGCTGGCTGAAAAGGCCCAGATCGCGGAGGAGGAGGCCAAGCTGCTGGCCCAGAAAGCTGCCGAGGCTGAGACAGAGATGCAGCGCATCAAAGTGACTGCCATCCGTGGCCAGGAGGAGCGGCGGCTCATGGAGCAGAAGATGCTGGAGGCAGAGATGCTGGCTCTCAAGATGGCCGAGGAATCAGAAAGGAGGTGGGAAGTGGAAGAAGGAAGACCGACCATAAAATCTGCAGCGAATATACATCTGTTTAGCTTTGGCTGCTTTGTTATCACCATCTCTCTCATACCCAAAATTCTCCCTTTGTATCCATCTCACACTCACACACACAACATCCCTATTGTTTTAGATCTTTAAATAACTTATTCCCACGTCTTACTGACTTTCCAAGACTTTTCTTTTTTCTTTATTTGACATGAGAAACCCTCGAACTCAGGAAGCTGTCTTACAGGAGCATCAAAACGCACTTACTATATAAACTTCCTCAACTCATGAGCCTCCCAAATGTTTTTGGAGTTACTAAGCCGTTTAATGTCAAGGTGCACAAACACGCCGCTGCACATCAGCAGTACAGAAGTCAGTCGATATGCTCCGAGCACCGAGCAAGGTAATGCTGCTGCATTTAAATTGCTCGATCAAAGAATGAGAACATCTAACTTGTTTAAAATCATTTAATTTCAAAGGCTTTGTTCTTGTGCTGCAGCTGAAAAGCAGGTAATCATGCGGTTACAGCCACAGCGCTGCACACAGAAGTAAAAGAGAGAGAGAGCTTTTGTTCAGCAGCCCTCCTCATAGGTCTGAAGCGCAGCAGTTAATTTGCGCTAGTTAATTGTTAGCACTAGGATCGATTGATGGTAGGAGTCCCTATCAAACAGTCTCTTTTACTACGCACTGAAGCTCCACAGTGCTGAAACTGAACTGACTTTGATATATTTTTCATCTGTGCCTTTTCTCTTTTATACTTCCAGCAGTGGTTGAAATCAAACACTTAGAATATCTGCTGTTGACTTTTTTTTATTTCTTTGGAGGTCAGATGGATGAGGAAATTGAGTGATCCTCAATCAGCACCCTGTAAAACTTAGGTGTCAATCATCGCAGCAAAGAACTTCAGTCATTTTCATAATAAAATAGTATACATAGATACTAAGAACATCATTTCACAGCCTCTACTTCACCGTTTATTAGGCAATCATTTCAAATGGGCACCATTAACCACTTACCAGTAACTGCAATTTCTGGATGAGCACTTTTGTGCACCAGAGAAATTTAAACCTGTGGCACTCAACACGTAAATGACTATGTCCACTCAAACCCTCGAGGCACACAGCTCCCCACACATCAACGAGGAACTGCTGAGTGTTCAGGAACACAATCAAAAGAAATGTAATCATCCCTATATAACATTTCTCACATCACTGTGTGCAAACTCACTGGTGGAATAATGGAGTCAGAAATGATTGTCTGCTGGGGTGATACATTGATCACCTGGGTAATAACAAAGTGACATTCCTGGTTCGTCGAGTACTTATCTACCAATTATGTAAGAAATTTTTGGATTCAATTTAGATAATGCTGTTTCCTTTGAAGGAATATGGGGGTGAATTAAAGTATTAACTGCATCTGTCTGCCTGTTTGTCCCTCAGGGCCAAGGAGGCTGAGCAGCTCAAACAGGACCTGCAGGAAGCCAGGGAGTCAGAGCGCAGGGCAAAGCACAAGCTGCTTGAGATTACCAGCAAGGCTGTCTATACGGTAACACACATACACACACACACACACACACACACACACACACACACAAATATACTGAGAACACACAGGCAGATGCACAGAAGTCATATAGTACACAACGCAACAGATGTAACTGTTCAAGAACAAGCAAGTAGGATGAAACTATTAATTGATTAGTCTATGGAAGGAAATAAATCAATGAATTCTATTCTGCTCTCTTAAGTCATTTATCAAGTAAATTAACCAAATATTTGCTGATTCCGGCTCCTCGGCTTTACTGATTTGCTTATTTACGGGCTTATTGAATAGGGAGAGTGGATATTAATCAGTCTGCAACTAGTAATTATTTTCATTATCGATTCATCTGTTGATTTTTTTCTCGATTAGTTGTTTGGGCCATTAAACACCCAGTGAAAATATCCTATATAATGTCCTATAGCACCAGGGGACGTTTATTATGTAAAACCAAGAAAATCACCAAATTCTTAGATTTGTGAACCTGGAATCATTAAATATTTGGCATTTTTGCTTGAAAAATAAGTTGAACAATTAATCCATTTTCATAATAGTTGTCGATTAAGGCCTGAAAGTCTGAACCAAAGTTGACATTTTTGTTATATTTTAACATTTGAACCGGTTAGTTTTAGAACTGTGCATGACATACTGTACCTACGTCCTGTCATCATCACCTACGTGTGCTGCGTCTGCCTGTTTATAGTCAAACAGATTAACTTCATTGCCTCTATACTAATATTATCATGGCATTACTACCAGCAGCATCAGCTCCAAGTGCAGAACTGGAGAACTGTCTGATGGCATCATGCACCTTTATATACTGCAGTCGCAGTCTCTCTACCCTCAGGTGGCATCACTCTCCCATCCTCTCAGAAAATAACTTCTAATTTTGGGCATTTCGACCATTTGGACAAAATAAAAATCCTGTCCCCATGTGCTACCGCGGCTCATTTTTACTTCTCTTCCAGTTATTTATCTTCTATTGGTTAATGGGCGACAAGCCTGCATCAATTTCCTATAATTAGTCCAAAAGTTTGAATCTGTTTGATCCGGACAGAGACCACCTCTGTTGGTCAGAATTTTACAAGGTAGGTGTGAAAACAAACCAAATTTTCTCCCAAAAATTCAAACATGACCAAAAACGAGAACATTTTTTTATCTGTTTTTGTGAGGATTTGAAGCAAAGTAAGCCAATTTAATTACTTTGGTCTCTTGTAAATCTTCTTATATTTTAAACATTAAGATTAAAGGATTAATTGAAAGTAAATCAAAAGATGACTCAATAATGAAAACAATAATAAGTCACAGCCTTAAAAATTACATAGGTGTTTATAGTATACTGTATCAGACAATACACAGATACATGTACACACCTGCATAAAACAAATAGGCATAATACACATATTATACAGTACATGAATGCACTGTGAGTATGGGAGAACTGTACATGCAGTGGTGCTTCACAGGAAAATATTGTGCACTTCCACATTGGGATTGCGGGCTGCCACTGCTGGTTTGAACACATGCCATGGCTGTACAGGTGTTTTGTCTTTACTGCTAATAGCACACGCTCACACACACTACTGTAGCCCCACAAAGCCACAACGAACAGGAGTTACTTACATAAGAACAGGCAGCACATAAGGCAGCCTACACAAGAGCTTCCAACATGCTAAAAGCCCACACACCACATATTCATCTGCTTACACACATGTATACACACACACACACACACACACACACACACACACACACACACTAGTGCACATACATACGAAAGACACGTTGCCACTGGAACTCCTCTATACACTTATCAGTTCCTTAGTGAAAACACAACGCAACACAAACATATACAAACACACTCACACAAGAACACAATAATTCAGCCGCTGTCAAATTGCTCTCTGTGCTCTGCCAGACCTTATTTACGTCGACTGTATCCCCCCTGGAGTTGGGATTCACATGCCAGCTAATGGATTTACATTTATATAGTGTATTAAGTCCATTTCTCATTCAAGTAGCATGTGGCCAATGCATTCCAGACATTTGGTCAGGATCTGAACGCACATATTTGTGGGTTCAGGGTCTGTGACCATTAAAGTGGTCCCCTTTTTATCCCCCCTTCTTCTCTTTCAACTGTCCTCTCTGTCAGCATTGTGTACCTGCATCCAAGTTGCACACATCTTTCTCATACTTTTTGCCTTTCCCCCATATATCTTCTACCTTTATTCTGTCCCCCCTCTCCCTTGTTTGTCTTATCTTGTTTTTACCCTTCCTATATATATATATATTTTTTTATGCCTCTGGGCCAGCGACAGCCAGAGCCGGGGGCTTATCGGTTTCGGTTTGTCCGTCTGTTTGTACGCACAAATGTCCACTTGGATTCAAGGACGAACTGTTTAGATTTTGGTGTCTAAAGGTGAAAGGTCAGGGTCACAGTGACCTCACAGAACATGCTTTTGGCCTTGTGAGTGCAATGAATACCTCAAGGGAATCCTTTCAGCTTTGGCACAAACATTCACTTGGACTCAAGGACAGACAGATTAGATTTTGGTGGTCAAAGGTCAAGGTGACCTCACAAAATGCGGTTTTGGCCTTGTGAGCGCGATATCTCGACAACTCTTCCAGAGGATCCCGTCACATTTGGCACAAATTTCCACTGTGACTCAAGGATGAACACAAAACACTTTTAAGGCATAACTCCAGACTTCACACAAAAATGATCACAAAATCTCACACAAATGGTTCATATTTCGAGGCGCCCTCGTGGCTCACCTGGTAGAGTGCGTACCATTAAGGCTCAGTCCTACCCACAGCGGCCACAGGTCTGAATCCAACTTGCGGCCCTTCACTGCATGTCCTCCCCTGTCTCTCTCTCTTGCTGTCAATAAAGGAAAAAAATTCCCAAAAAATAACTTGGTTCATATTTTATATGATTCTGGATAAACATGGATGTAATCTGAAATTAGTGGGGGAGGCATACGACCGTGATGCGGTAATTCAAGTTTCTTTCTACATCACTTCCAGTTCTTTTTCATTCTGTCCCATTTTCCACTTTTATTGTTGTGAGTTCATCTGCATCTCTTCCTCCCCTCTTAGTCCCCTGGACTCCCGCCTGACAGTATGGCTCCTGACCTGAGCTTCAGCAGGGAGAACCTCAGCTTCGACTTTAAAGATACTGACATGAAACGCCTCTCCATGGAGATTGAAAAAGAAAAGTAAGTGGCCGGGGGCGACTCTGCTGATGCTGCCTGATATTTTTGGGTGTCAGTGCGTTGGCATTTTACACTTCCTGTGACTGCGGTCGAGCCACATTCCAGTGGTTTGATGACATAATTGTTAATCAGCAGAGGGAATTGATTAGGTGATAGAAAATATCTCTTTGAGGTTACTTTTAAATAATCTCAAAATGTGTTTGAGAAAGCTCTTAATCTTAATACAGTATTACACTTGGAGGAACACCATCACTTTTAAATATGCATATTTTAATTCAGAGTTCAGGTGAGCAGTTGACCTTCAGCATTAGCTGTCGCTGATGTTACTGCCAGCATTCAAGCATTTCATTTCCCCTGCAGCTTGTGGTGTCAGTGATCGCAGACAGGAAAAACTATGTTTAGATGAGTGTGACCCTGGCTTTGGTGTTGAATAAATTAGCTGGCTCTTCATTGTCAACCACTTTGGTAATTAGCAAGTTAGCACAGGTCCATTACTGGTGGTTCACATAAACCTTGAAAAAAAGACTCTGATTTAAATGGGAGATAAATAAAATATAAAATATTTTGACCAGCAAGACTTCTATGAAAAGTGTTGATGTTTTCCCCTTCCATTATTTTGTATCTTTGTAACAAACTATTATAGTTAATTGCACAAAGCTCTGAAGTTCTCCAGAATTACAATACCTAGGACATTAAAAGGCCCATCAGTCCATGTAATCGGTAATTTACATTCCATTTTATAATTTGCACCTTTCAGTACACTGATTCTAAAAATTGTACATTTCTCATAATTGGTTTCCGATGAAAGTGTCTGGGAAAATGTTCAAACTCTGAGTGGAGCTTGCAAACAAATATATATTTTTGCAGGGTCTTTACATATGAAATAAATGTTCCTTTAGACTTAATTTTCCAAAGTTTGAATGTTTTTGATTGATTGGATTAGAGTATTATGTAATAATATGTAATTATGTAATACATGCTCCAGGATTGTCAATAATGATTATACAGTCTGTGCCCCTATTAAGAGGTGTGCTCATGGTCGTTGTATGTATTCATAATTGCCATGGAAAGCATAACTATTAAAGTCAGATCTACATTACAACATAGAGGGACTTGAAGTTGACAGTATGGTTACAGAAATTTTCGATGTATGCAGACGAGAAATTTGGTGCCAAAAAGGAAATATACTAAACTGTCTCCCAATCCTGCAATTTGTCAATGTTTAGGGTCGAGTACATGGAGAAGAGCAAACACCTGCAGGAGCAGCTGAATGAGCTGAAGACGGAAATTGAAAGCCTGAAGCTGAAGGAGAGAGAAACTCCTCTGGACATCATACACAACAAGAACACAGAGCAAGGGACCAGCAAGCACAGCAACTTTAAAAAGGTATCTAACAGCATGGCTGCTCGCATGGCAGACACACAAATGCACAATGTAACACCTGCCACAAAATACACACTATTCCCCCCCGTTGTGCCTTATCTATACACACACACACACACACAGTCAAACGTTTCTAGTCAGTTAAGCACCTTGTGTGCATGTACAACAGTTGTCAATAGGTCTTTTGATTAGATCTACCTCTTAAAGTGACATTGGGAAATTGACACAAAGGCCGGAGATTCGACTACATCCAAACACAACCTCAGGTCTAACAGAAATTCTTCTGAAATTTGAGGGAAAAAAAGCAACACAGCTGTCAAAAAAAAAAAGATCTTTACAAGCAACACTTTATCTCTCAATGCACTCCTGTGTTTCTAGTACATGTGTGACCCCTCTCCTGTTAGCTCGCTACAGTCTCCAAACACAAACCTGCTACAAGCTATCCACATTAGTACCACACTGACAGAGATGTCGGGAACACTGTGTACAACTCTACCTGAGATCTTTACATTGCACCAGTATCATAAAATAGTCTGACGTGTGCACTGGCAGTAAAGTTGCAGAGAGGAGCAGTCAACACAAGACAAGTAACGCTAGTGTTTGCAGCTAATGCTGCTTCCAGCTGGTCTTCAACTTCTCCTGGTTGAAAGCGGAACTGTGAGTGCAGCCATGTGGTGTTTTATTTACAGGGATATACCTTATACCTCTTTAATTTAAATGCCAAATTCTGAGGAATAACACTGAGTGAGGAACTGAGGTTTAAAAAAAACAACCAGCCAGCAGCATTTAAATTCTTCCTCCTGTGAGAAGAAATCAGCCAGAGAAACGCTGCCAATATTTACTGCTGCTGGTGTGGCAGAGAACTTTTTTGTTGGTATTTCTGATTCAATATTTGAAACGAAAGTTGAGAAAATAATACATTTTAATCTCATTTTTTATTTCAAAAACTAAATATATCAAATCCTAATTAGAAATGAATCACATACTGTATCGTATCCCTGCAAATTTATCTGGTCTCTGTTTGTAGATAGATATCAAATCGTGTAAGAGGGAGAGATACACGCCCCTTACTTTATCCTTAATGCACAGCTCTTCAACAGCTCAAGTCCCATGAATTGGTGTAGTCTAAATGGAGTCTTAATTCTCATCTCACATCATCTTCCAAGGATGATTGCCAATCAAAATTTTGGTCGTTCTCTCTCATACAACACCCACGCCACTCCATCATATTATTCTAAGGCAGGGTATTGATTCTCAGAACATCACTTAATAGCAACAGTCTCTGCTTGGGCCTGGGTTCATTTTCCAGCCTCGATTTTCTTCTTTGATGCAGCCCGCTGGGGGAGGGCGAGCGATCACATTCATTTTCTACTGTGACCTCCACAAGTGCACAGTGATTACTGGTCTTAAGTGTATTTGAAAAAAAAAAAAAAAAAAAAAAAAAAAAAAAAAAAAAACTGAGAGGGAAATCTGTTTTTACATGTAACTTATTTCAACTCCAACTGTTGTAATGGAGCTGCTTCATCTCACTATTCGGGGCTTAATATGCCGTTTCCTTTTCACTGCATCCTGGTGCAGTGATGATATGAAATGACACAAAAAAAAAAGTCTTTCAGCTTGAGGGATATTTCAAAATTGATTGGTCAAAGGCAGTGGAATTGTTATAAAAAAGTGGATTCTATTTCCCCTGTCCTCTGATGAACTGGCAGATTAGCCTCATTCCTCCTTTATCTTCCCACACTAGTATCTCTCTAATTTCAGTGAAAGCATCAAATCAAAATTTGAGCTATATTCTCAGCAGATTGTATAACAAAAAAGCCCTCCCCTCCTCCGTTTTGTCTCCTAGTGTAAAATACTTGTTAAGGGAGTGCTAATTGATTTTTGCTTGGTGATTAGTCATTTGGATGGATGGGGGCACCTCTGGCACGCAGGGGGAGAAGGAGCTAAGTTAAAAGTGTTGGTTTAATTGAACCAGAGGCGTGTGGCATTCATCTTGTTAGTGGGGGAAGGGGGGGGGATGGGCGCACATCATTGCAGGGAGAAGGGAGAAGAGAAATGGAGAGGGAGGAAACTTAAGTCAGCTTTGCCAAAAGAGTTGAGAAGTTTTGGAGAGGATGAGATTGAGGATGAGGACTTTGAGGGAGGCTGAGTCACGCAGAAGTGCTGAGAATATACTGGCGACCAGAGAGGGGACAGGATGAAGGGGACACGGTGGGAAAAGAAGGAGAGTGGGAATGTGGAACGAAGCACTGATCTCTGAAGCCAGAAGCATCAGGACCGGCTGCACCCTAGGGCAAGGTTTTTTCTCTGCCCACACTCTCTCTCCCTCTCTCTCTCTCTCTCCTCTGGATGATTAATGACTGGCTCCTTAACACGGGCCAGCGCCTTTGCATTTCCACCAGGCCACAGGTTCTGCTCTGTTAGCAGCAGGCCAACCAGCAGAGCTCATTTTCAACAGCTGAATCGCAACACAAGAGCTGCAGTGATTCTGTGTAAAGTTTCGCTGAGAGGAAATGTTTTGGGTTTTTTTTTTGTCATACACGGCGGTTCATCCAGAAGTGGCACACAAAGGAGGTCAACCATCGGGGTTACTCTTGTAGTGCTAAATAACATAAAGGAGTATTTCTTTTGTGGAAATAGCTTGCTATTGTGCCATTCACAACATTAATACCCCGGGACATTGAATAAAGAGTTCTTGCTCTTTCCAGCAGGGAGACGGTGGGCTGTGTGGAACACAATGCAAGAGAGTTAGACACAGATAAACACACACTCAGTCTTTCATACTCACAAGTGTAGCTCAGGATGCACGTCAGCAGGGACAATAGAAGGTGATTGGTAAACATTGCCCTGCAAATCCGTCCTTCTCCCACACAGTATGTGTTTGGATTTGCTTAAGTCTCTCCAGCTACACATTTCCCAGAAATAACCCGGATCTCTCAAACTGTCCTCCTTCATGTCCGGTCTAATATTTACTGCTTTAAGTCCTTTACCCTACAGATGTGGAGGACAGGGAAAAGTTTGCCCACCCATTTTGAAGTGCTCTCTTATGCTGATTTAGACGAGCTATTGGTTAGCTATGCTGATGGGGTAAAAGCACAGCCAGTGCCCCAAATGAATCCATCACTAGCTCGTTTACGCCTGGAGAGGAAAAAACAATTAACAGTGTTTTCTCTGACTGGTATTGATCACCTCCAGCTCTGGCTGTCAGTTTGATTGTTTCTGCAGCAGTGAGAGTCTGGGAATCCTACGGATTTCTTTGTCTATCAGGTCTAGTTGTAAACCCTGATTGAGGCTGATTTTTCTTTTCACTTGATGTAAATTAAGATCAGTGGAAGATGCATTAAGAACACGGCATGCCTTCACATGCTATCTGAGCTTCATTACGAACAGAATAACCTTGGGGGTATGTTTTCAGTAAACACAGCAAAGTGCACAAATACACTCCAATTATCTTCTCCTTATGATCTCTTAGTCTTTTGATTAGTCAAGGGAAACAGTCACATGTTGTGGTGGAATGTGCTGTAGCTTCTAGTGCCTCTTCAAATCTACTCTAGTGTTCATCAGAGGCATGACTAAATTAATCATGCATACATATGTACGTTTTCTTTAGAATCACAGCTAACATGACCTCATTCGAATCATGGATCTTTAATTGTGTTGTTATTTTGTGGAGGTTAACATAGCCAGCAAATACAATCTAGGTAGGACTAATGAAAAAATACACTTGCTTCAGAGTCTTTACATCGAGAACATATGATCACTTTATAAAATGTGATGTTGTGATAATTTAAACCAGCCAGTAGTGCATTAAGTTTAGGTATTTCCTACATGTTCATACATCAGTAATAATAATCCAATAATATTATAATTTAACAGATAGAAATAAAAAAATCACATTCCAAATTGATAATATCACACTCTACTCACATGGCACACCCACGTCTTACTGCTATGTTATGCTCATATATCATAGGTAAAGAACAATTGTGTGACGATATTATATAAGTGTGTTATGTAAGGATGATTTCAGTCTTATGCAACTTACTTTCACAGAACTTTTACTTTTGATACTTTACATTTTGCTGATGACACTTTACTGAAATAACATTTCTAATGCAGGACTTTAACTTGAATGAAGTATTTTGTTAGCATGGTAGTGCCACTTTTACGTTAAGTAAATGACCTGAGTACATCTTCCATCACTGACATTAATTCAGTAGGAAAGACACTTGATTAAATCAGTACATTATAGGGCATGGACTAAACCAAAATATAATATATAATCCTCTACTCTTTATAATCCATGAAATTGCAATTGTGTTAACAGCACTGAGTCATAACACAACACCAGACAGTCATTCAGGGTGGCCAAGCCTGCAATTAAATGTACACAATCCAAAGGGATGTTGAACTCTACAAGCCAGGGAACTCTAAAAGTTAAGTTCTGGAAATATGCCTTCACCCAGCAAGCTTGTTGACCATCCACGCATTGGTTTTGAAGGTCTGTCAGTTGAAATTCTTGAGCAGACTAGGGGATCACATCGCTCGCACTGGGAATACATAGAAGGACTGGACCTGGCACCGAGGTTGAAGGGAAGGGCAGGTGATGATTCAGCGGCATTAGTCACTAATGAGGATTTCCTCTTTACTTATTTTGCCTTATTGCTCCACTGCCTTATATTGTGTTCTTGTTTACATTCATCACTGATAAAACAAACCTTATCTGGTCTGTTCTGATCTCATCCACAGCTAACACTACAGAGCACCAAGTCCAGGGTGGCCTTCTTTGAGGAACTTTAAACTACACATCAGTAAAGACGGGATGCACAACTGCCAAGAACCTCATGTTTCTACATTCCTGGTCAGTGTAAATGACTCACCACACTACAAAGCCCTATAGCCCACTTCTTGGGAACCACCATGAAACACTATGAACAAAAAAAAAAAAAAGACCACTGCCTTGATCTGCACCAACTCCAGGGGCCTTGTGTTTACGCACAAACAGGGATGAATGCGTAATGCTCCTGCAAAATGTTCCTGCGCTAAATCTGGGATTCATAAAAAATTGAGTGTGTGTTTACAGTAGGTGTTTGAAATACAGCACATTCCCCTTGAACATTTTGAAGTGAACTTGGGTGTGGGGGGGTTCATTAGTGTCAAAGAATAAAGGTAGACGACGCAAGAAGGAAATAAACAAAATTGGGTAATATGAAAATTGACTGCTCCTGTTCTACTGTGGGTTTAATGAGACAGTACTCATGGAGTTTAGAAGGGTTATTATATCATTTCCAAATGGGGTGACCTACATTAGCTGAATGCCTAAGTGTTTTGAAATTCGAAAAGGAAACAAACCACTAAGGGATAAAGTTGAAAAAGAGAATGAATGATTATACGGCTGATATGTCACTCATACCCTTTCCCAGATAGTAGTTATACACAGCAAATTAAACTTCCTTCTGCTTAAACACTGACCATTTGTTATATTACATTTTATTTATAATGTCAACAAATTCCTTCATATGATTTATTCTTTCTTTGCTTAATAACTTCATGGTTAAATAAAAAAAAGGATGTTCAGGCAGCAAATACGGGGCATTTTTTTGCTATCATAAATTTAAAGAGCCATTTAATGCTAATAGTGGGAGTTGATGGGCTGTGGTGGATATTAAGCTCTTTCTCAACACAAAAATCCAACTCTGTGAGTATCATCAAGGAATTTGCCTCAGTCGAGTTGTGTGAGCAGTGTTTTTATTTTTTTAATCTCAGAATCTGTGTCCACGTTTGTGCCTTTATGCAACTTTGTTGTGCTGAATGTAGACAATTTGTTATGCATGAGGCCTTAGGACTTTTGTTTACATCTTGTATACACAGAGAAGTAATGTTACATATCTCTGGGCTGCCTCCAGCTATTGATTAGGGTGTCCTTAACGCAGGGCACTGAGTGCACTACGCTCTGCTCTTGAAAGTGAAGAGATCATTTGTACTAGGCGGTTCTTAGAATCTGAACTGGATGAAGGATTTTTAGATGTGAGCTTCTATCACATCTATCATCTATCTCAGTTTTTTTTTTTTTTTTTTTGTGAAGACAACCACTTTTTTGAAACATGAATTTGCATCTATTTTGAATTAATGTGTCTTTTTGAATTAATGTACTCTTTCCCTCTGAAAGCATTTTATTTTGGGGAATTATAATGTGAAGAAAACGGTTTTTATTTTTCTTTCTGTCTGCATTTAACAAGAATAGAAATCAGTATTTGAAAAGAAACCTGTGGAGGCGTTACAGTACCTATATTTCTAGATATACATCGTAACAGATACAGTATGTATGTTTTGCCTGTAAAATAAATGAATATCACATCTGATCTTTTTTTTGTTTGAGTATTTTTCCATACAGAAATAACATTGGTAGTTATTTTGGCAGACTTTGATGAATGTCAGCTTTGATATTGCAAGTGCCAAGAGTCTCTTCCACCCGACCCAAACAGACATCCAATTACACCTTTGAAATGAATCAAGTGTTACGTAAGTACCCTCCATCTTGTGTCAGATCACATACCCTGTTTGCTTGAGTGACAACGTCTTTGTGTGTGTGCTTGTGTGCCTACGGATGCGTGGGCGAGCGGGGTGTGTTGCATGCCCCGTGCACTCGTTTTTGTGCCGGCGTGTGTTGTGTGTCACCACATTAACCCTTTAATGTGAGTTTTTCTACCCGTGGCTTCGGGTCTCTGAGACTGACAGCTCTCTGCCAGAGTGAGTGGCACTGAGGTCAGGGGGCTTCTCCATAGCTCTGTCACCTCTTGGCTTAGTTGGAGAATGACCACCCTCGGCTTGTCAGTGTTGTGACAGAGAGACGTCATCGGGAGCCAACTCTCCCCTGGGGGTCTGGGGCTCAGAGGAGCAGGGGTGGAAGGTCTGTGGGGGCATCAGGGATACCGACAAGACACGCAGATTCTCCCTCATTGTTGCCACCCCCTCAACACTGTCCGCTGAAACAGGAGAGAGGGAAGAGGGCATGAGATAGGAAGAATCGCATCTTTTGTTATTTATCCATTCTCAAGGGATCACAGTTGACGTCACACCTGCACAGACAAACACTCATCTTGCAGCAGATTGTTAAAGGTTCTCAGTTTACTGCAGGGTGAGGGGAGTTGACGGGGACAGCACAGCACCTGCCAAGGGCTTGATTATAAAACAGGCACACACAATAGGAAGGAAAAACCCTTGTATCATAATCCAGGGTGAGCCTCTGTTCACACAGTTTTATTGGTTAAGTACAATTAACATTTTCATGTTTTGACTGCAAATAATGGCCAGAGCTTTACTTGCTTTAATGTGGAACTGCCAATGTAGCCTAAACATAACAACAATGCATGTATATCATTCGCTTTATCTGTGATTAACCTGTGTTCAGCCCTCATTATGCTACCATGGTTACCAATAGAGATCCAGTATAGATGTCTGAACTACTTGCTTGAAAGTTTAGGTTTTAATATGGGTCATTCATGAGGTATGCTAGTTCAAGACATCTTCAGGTGTGAGCTAGCTAGCTAGCTAGGTCGTGACCATTTCCTTGTTCCTTAACTGTTTTAGCACATTAAGACAGTGAGGTTGTGATTGACATAAAGATTATGAAGTCACAGAAGTACCCTTAAAGGTAGCTACCATAGGTCTCTCTACTTTCCTGCGTAACAATAGAAGTGCAGCTATGCTTTCTAGCTTAAAAAAACATGCACTGCGGTGAAGGCTAAACCACCCAACGGGTAGTCGCACCCAACACCTAAACAGATTATTTAAAAGTTGATAAATTTTCACCTTGGATTCAGGTTTACTTTCAACCTGAGCAAACCCTAGTGCTATAAGACAACGTTAACTGTAATGCTAACAAACAATGCTAACAGCCATCTCAACATACCTACTACTAACAGTATCCTACCTTTTACACCAGAACACACATTATGTTCTCGGCGATATTAGGCCTATGTTTCATTCATTCATTTCATTCATTGTCTTCATTTGTTGCCACTGCTAATGTTAAGCTCAAATGACCAGTTTAGGTAAATTGTAATTTATACGATTTAAGGTAAAGATCATATTTGCTGCAAACTCTGTGACCACCAGCTTCTACTTATCAGATCTAAAGCATTTCCTTTCACGTGTTTATCTGCTGTGTCCTCCCATGACATTGTGAGCACCACAAACTAAACCATCCATTGTGTTTTATCTCCACCATGGCGGAGCTGACTATTTCCTGTGGGTTTATCAGCCTCTTTCTCAAATATACTCCCATGTGCTAATCTCTTCCCACCCATACCTATTCTAAAAATATGCCAGCTCAGAAATCCTTTTGTAACACTCTGGGCAAATGCAACAATATTATTCACATCAGATGACAAATGAATTTCTAACCATTCGCCCTCGATTTCTGCTGCTAGATAATTTATGTTACCTGGCTTATCTTGCTTGGACAAGCTGTAGAACTGAACTTAAAGGATAACAAGAGACTTCAAGTATTGGTTGGTTTATTTGGATGGGGGATTTTAACTGACTGTTTTGCCTGAGGCACAACCTTTACCCATCCTACTGCTAACTCCTGCTGATGTATTTCCTCCAGTGACCAGCCTGCTTTTCCCTGAAGGTGTTTTCTCCATAAAGGTTGCCCTTTATGTAACCCTGTTCCTCTCTCGTGTTGCACCTGCTCTACAATATAACGGATAAAGAAGGTTGAGCACTTCTTCTATGACTTAAGATACTTTGAACCTTATCTGAAAGCTCACCTGCGTGGATTTAAATACCTCTTCAAAGATAGATATGTAGATATTATCAGAAATCCCTTTGCAATGTCCTTTTGATGTGCAGTCTTTGTGTCAGGAGCCATGCTGGCCTTATAAATTAAATTATGAGCATAGGCAACTTTTAACCTCAATCCTGATCTTCCTGTGCCTTTATTCATTGCCTTGAATTCCTCCTTCTGAGACTGTCCTTACCAGAAAAATGGCACTGGTCATTTGTCCACTGAAAATGACATATGTTTACATTTTCTTGTCAAGCAACTTCTCTTGGTTGTCCAAATAATGACCGACCTCTTTTAGGTGGCATAGGCAGAAGTTGCAGTCGGCATGTAGAGCATGCAACTTCAACAACAGATGTTGTAGTTGGCATCCCATTATCCACCAGACAACATTGGTTTGCTTTAACCATGTAGATGATCATTTGAGCTTGTTTGATGAGCTGAACCCTAATCAGGTAGTCTTAGTTGCGGGAAGTTAACTATATCTTTACAATAGAGGTGACAGATGAGAAAATTAAATACAAGTGACTTTTGAAATGGTCTGATGAATCGTTTTTGGAAGACGGTGGCAAACAACTTATTTTGTTGTGAAGACTTGTTGCTCCTACCTCATCCCCTCAGTCTGACAATACTCTTTAAAACAAATGGCTTCACTAAGGCTGTGCAAAGACCAACTTCAGCCCTGTGTGAAAAAAACTAATTCCTCTCATTCATTTTAATAAAGCCAGTCTGGTGGCGCAGCAGAGGTCCAAAATGACTCGGGACCATTCAGCAATGCAAGGCACTGCGTTGTTCAATCAAGTTCTTCCACTAGCAGATACAGTATGCATGTGAACTCAGTAGATATATGATCCATTGTTAAAATCACACTTATTGTAACGAAAGATAAAATATTTGCTGGACATGATTACTTTCCAGAGTTGTAAAATACTGTCTGTGAGTATTATAAACCATTGTGTAGTTTTTAGGCCTTTAATCTGTTATTCTAACTGGACTTGGATTGTATTCCATTGTCTCACCACTATCTTTAACAACACATCCCCACTATAGCAGCCAACTGCATTGTTGCAACAGAATTGTTTTCCATCTGAACCTGTTAAAACAGGTTCACAGACTTCTTCTTCACATGCTTTTGTTTGGCACCTCATTATTTGAACTCACTGTAGTAGTGGCATGACTCTGAGCTTCTTTTAATAAAGGTCTTTGGCTTTGATAGTCACAGCCCCTGTTAAAGCACTGAGACTGTCTGCACTGGATCAAGGCCAAGCCCTTTCTGTTGCTTTTCTCCCCCTACAATGCACTGTGATGACTGAATGACCACTTCCAAAGTCACGATAAAAGGTCGAGGTGAAATTGGAGTCTGCCATCATGTCTATCTCCACATGCTGCCATGACCTAGTAAACTCAGCTTTTGTGACTCTGAGTATCGACTGAAAGCACTGACCATATTTTCGTAAATCAAAAATCCTTCCACAATAGTTGATGTGGTACATAGCCAAAGGCATTAGTAAGGTCTAAAAATACCATATGGAGATCTCAGTTCTTCAGCCTGGGCGACTGAATTTCTTGCCAAATCATGCTTGTACACTCCAGGCAGCTGTCATTGCCTCATAGTGCAGGTTTTTGCTCTGGTGTTTCAATGAACTCACTCTTAGTAACTGGACTGTCCCCAATACAGTGAGGAAAGTCTTCACTTGCACAACAAGAAAACAAATAAGTGGGCTAAGCTCTAAATCTAAGCTGAATGTACAGATTTTTTAATTTTCATTCATGGAATATTTTGCAGCTTTAAACCATGATGTAGGAGTAAACCTATTTTTTTTCAGTCTTTTTGCCTACACAAGAATCTTAATAAAATCTCAAAAAAAAAGTGGGTTTTAGTAGTCATGTAAGCACAGTTCGAGTTTTGGCTTGTGAACAGAAAAGAGCAGTTTGAAACATCATCTAAATGTGCACGTGTGCACTGTACCAGCATGCTCGTGCTTGTGGGTAATAAGCACATTTATCAGCATCTTGTGCAGAAATTGTCCTGCCTGGAGAATCCATGGACTCTTTCATTATGGAACACTTCCTCAAAGTGGTGAATCCCCTCTGCTTGCCTTGTTGTGTGTGTGGTTAGGGGGAGGGGGGTGATCTGCAGCAGCCTCCCTTGCTCCCGCGGGAATGTATTTTATTCACTGGATATTCAGTATGAATCCTCTTGACATTAGTCCTTTCTGCTTCTCTGCATCCTGGTATTTATTTGATAGTGTGTCACCTCACCTTACACATATGTTGAGAGTGATTAAATTCATACAGTCCCTGGAGACTCTGTGGTGGTGGTGGCAGGGGGGTGTATAGGATTTGAAAACTTGGAAGCTTTCGCTGTGCTGCATCAGGTTACCGGCATATGTGTATTTCTCTCAAATTCATGCACCCACACTATGACAGACACACACAGTTACCCACTCAGAATCACAAATCCTTCTCGGTCCTTCCAGCCAAATTAGTATCTTCTTTCGTTTCAGGATGCAGATGTCTCTGAGTGAAATACCTGTGGAAAATCGCCATGATT